AAAATATAGGCTATAAGATAGTATTTGTAAGTCTCATGTTAACCTCAAATCTAAAAACATACAAAAGATACACAGAAGATAAAAATCAAGAAATTAAATCATATCACCAGAGGAAAACCACCTTTACTAAAAGGAAGATGAAGGAAAGAGAAAGATAAAGGAAAGGGAAAGGAAAATGAAAGGGAAGGAAAGTAAAGGGGAAAAAGGAAAAGGAAAAGAGAGGGGGGAAAGGAAAGGGGAAAGAGGAAAGAAAAGGAAGAGAAAGGGAAAGAAGAAAAGGAAGAGAAAGGAAGGGAAAGGGAAGGGAAGGGGAAACGGAAAGGGGAAGGAAAGAGGGGAAAGGGGGAAGGAAAGGAAGACAACAAAATGGCAGAAGACATTATTATTTATCAATAATATCATGGAATGTAAATCAACTAAACTCACCATTCAAAAATCATAGAGTGGCTGAATGAATTTTAAAACAAAAAAAATTAATGATCTGTTGCCTACACAACAAACACATTTCACCTATAAAGACATACACAGACTGAAAATAAAGGGATGGAAAGGTATCCCTTGCCAATGGAAATTTAAAAAAGAGCAGGAGTAACTACTTGTTTCAGACAAAAAGTATTAAGAGACAAAGAAGATCATTATATGATGATAAAACATTATATGATGATAAAAGGATCGTTTCAGCAAGAGTATATAACAATTGTAATTCTATATGCATCCAACACTAGAGCACCCAGATATATAAAGCAAATATGATTAGAGCTAAAGAGAGAGCCCGACCCCAATACAATAACAGCTGGAGACTTTAACACCCCACTTTTGGCACTCAGCAGATCTTTCAGACAGAAAAATAACAAAATCAATAAAGAAACATCAAACTTAATCTGCACTATAGATCAAATGGATCTAACATATATTTACAGAACATGTCATCCAACAGCTGAAGAATACACATTTCTTTCTTCAGCACATAAATCATTCTCAAGTATAGACAGACCATGTGTTAGGTCACAAAAGAAATCTTCACACATTCAAAAAAATAAATAATAGCAAGCATCTCTTCTGACTACAATGGAATAAAACTAGAAATCAGTGACAAGAAGAATTTTGGAAACTATTACAAATACATGGAGATTAAGCAATATGCTCCTGAATCAACAGTGGGTCAATGAGAATATTAAGAAAAAAAATTTTTTAATTTCTTAAAACAAATGATAATGGAAATACAACATACCAAAACCTATGGGATAAAGCAAAACAGCACTAAAAGGTATGTTTATAGCTCTATGCACTTACATGAAAAAAGAACAAAAACATTTCTATATGGTAACAGTGAACTATCTGAAAATCAAGAAAGTAGTACCATTTACAATAACGACAAATATCATTCTCAGCAAACTGACACAAGAACAGAAAATGAAATACCACATATTCTCACTCACAGGCGGGTGATGAAAAATGAGAACACATGGACACAGCGAAGGGGGTACTACACACTGGGGTCTATTGGGGGGAATAGGGGAGGGACAGCGGGGGTGGGGAGCTGGGGAGGGATAGCCTGGGGAGAAATGCCAAATGTGGGTGAAAGGGAGGAAGGCAGCAAAACACTCTGCCATGTGTGTACCTATGCAACTATCTTGCAAGTTCTGCACATGTACCCCAAAACCTAAAATGCAATTTAAAAAAACAATAACCACAAGTAAAATAAAATGTCTAAGAATTAATTTAATTTAATAAGTGGATGGTCTCTACAATGAAAACTATAAAACACTGATGCAAGAAATTGAGAACACCAAAAATGAAAAAAATATTCCATGTTCATTGATTAGAAGAATGAATATTGTTGAAATAGCCACACTACCAAAAGCAATCTATTAATTCAATGCAATCTCTATCAAAATACCAGTGACTTTCCTCACAGAAATAGAAAAAAACTCCTAAAATGTATATGGAACCGGAAAAGACCCAGAATAGCAAAAGCTATACCAAGTAAAAAGAACAAAACAGGAGGAATCACATTACCTGACTTCAAACTACAATACAGAGGTATACTAACCAAAATCATTTGGTACGGAAACGAAGACCAGTGGAACAGAATAAAGAACCCAGAAATAAATCCATTCATCTGCCGTGAAGTCAATTTTGAGAAAGATGCCAAGAACATACACTGGGGAAAGAACAGTTTCTTTAATAAATGATGCCGAGAAAACTGGATATCCATATGCATAACAATTAAACTAGACCCCATCTCTCACCATATGCAAAAATAAAATCCAAATGGATTAAAAACTTAAATCTAAGATCTCAAACTATGAAACTACTACAAGAAAACATTGGAGAAACTCTCCACGACATTGGACCGGACAAAGATTCCTTGAGTAACAACCCCACAAGCACACAAAACAAAACCAAACATGGACAAATGAGATCACATCAAGTCAAAAAGCTTCTGAATGGCAAAGAAAGCAATCAACAAAGTGAAGAGAAAACTCAGAAAATGAGAGAAAATATTTGCAAACTACCCATCTGACAAGGGATTAATATCCAGACCATATAAGGAGCTCAAACAACTTAATAGGAAAAAAAATCTAATAATCTGATTTGAAAGTGGGGAAAAAGATCTGAATAGACATTTCTCAAAAGTAGACGTACAAATGGTAAACAGGTATATGAAAAGGGGTTCAACATCATGAGCATCAGAGAATTGCAAATCAAAACTACAATGAGATATCATCTCACCCCTTTAAAATCGCTTTTATCCAAAGGCAGGCAATAACAAATGCTGGTGAATATGTGGAGAAAAGGGAATCCTTGTACACTGTTGGTCAGAGTGTAAATCAGTACAACCACTATGTAGAACAATTTGGAGGTTCCTCAAAAAACTAAAAATAGAGCTACAATATGATCCAGCAACCCACTCTTAGATAATTTGTAAAAGTACAACTGCTTGTGTATACGATAAGTGTATGTTTATAAGAAATTGCCAAAATATAAGGTGGCAGATATCCAAATTACCCCGATTTGATCATTATACATTCTATAAGGTATCAAAATATAACATGTATCCCCAAAATATGTGCAATTATTACATAACAAAAAATTACTTAAAAAGTAAATTTTAAATGTTTTCTCCACAAAAAAGGTTATGTGAAGTGATAGATTTGTTAATAACCTTGTCCTAATCATTGCAGAATGTAAACATATATCAAACTGCACTGTATCCCAGAAACATATAAAACTATTATTTGTCAATTGAAAGTAATTGCTTTTAAAAAAAAAAGTCACTGGTAAGAGCATGCTCAACATCATTAGAGTAATCAAGAAAAGACACATTTAAACTCCTACAAAACCACTGGAATAGCTACAATTTAAGAAGCAGATGATAACAAATTCTAATGCAGATATAAAGGAACTCAAAGTTTCATATGCTGCTGACAGGAGTGTAAGAGGATACAACCATTTTGGAAAATATGTTGGCAATTTCTTATAAACATACACTTGTCGTACACACAAGCAGTTGTACTTTTACAAATTAAGAATAATGAATCAATAGTATTAACAACTTAAATGTCCATTAGCAAGTGAATGGTTAAAACAGATCGTGGTATATCCATACAATTAAATATTACTCAAAGTTAAAAGGGGGAAACTATTGTGATATGAAATAAGTGGATGAATCTCTACAACACTATATTGAAAGGAAGAAGCCAGACACAAAAAACATGTGCTGTCTCACTTCATTTACATGACTTTCCAGACCAGGCAAAGGTAACAGAATCAGAAATTGTCTGGAGACAAGTGGAGGTGGAAATAACTGCAAAAGGTTATGAATACACTTTTGGGGATAATGAAAAAATATATATCTTAATTATACCAATAGTCATGTACATTTGTTTAATCTCATCAATCTGTACACTTAAAATGGGTGCATTTTTTGTATGTGGATTATACCCCAATAAAATTGATTTAAAAAAACAAAATCAAGAAGAAAGCCAGGTGCAGTAGGTGATGCCTGTAATCCCAGCACTTTGGGAGGCCGAAGTGGGTGGATCACCTGAGGTCAGAAGTTTGAGGCCAGCCTGACCAACATAACAAAACCCCATGTCTACTAAAAATACAAAATTACCCAGGCGTGGTGGCTGGCACCTGTAATCCTAGCTACTTGAGAGGCTGAGACAAGAGAATCACTTGAACCCAAGAGGCAGAGGTTGAAGTGAGCTGAAATGGTGGCATTGCACTCCAGCCTGGGCAACAAAAGCAAAAGTTTGTCTAAAATAAATAAATGAAAAAAATAAAATAAAATAAAAAATGAAGAGGACTTGTTCTACCAAATTGTTAAACATAATACAAAAACATAGTAATTAAAATAATGTGATATGGGACACGTAATTAAGACCTATGACTGTAACAAGCCCTAATAAATTTCTGTCTACCTTGTAACCAAGGAAATTTATAATATCTGTGTACCACAGATGTTGCAATATTGCAATGCTGCAAATATTGAATTATATGAAAGCATTATACCCTGGGCCTTTGAATTTATTATATTTTCAAGGTTTTCCTATCAAGTGAATAATCAAAATTATCTGGTGTTCATATTATAATATTGATACAGATTCCCCTACTACTGATTCCATTGTGAAGTCATACCCTAAAGGACACATTGGGCTGCTTAATCAGTCTTCATTAAGAGATCTGTAAATGTCCAAAGATTAAGCAGAGATTTGTAAAGAACCTTATATAGTTACTCTGAAACCAAAAGCTAATTGTAGACTCTCCTCTTTCCCATTTCCAATAATTTTTTGCAGTACATTTTAAACTTGTTCAAAATTCTTCAACCTACAAAACCTAGACAGTATTGTCTTGGATGTATTTCAACCCAACTTTACTTACTGTCAACATTCTGCATGGTACTCATTCACATTTGAGATATATGACATTTATGAAAAAGATAAACTAAAACAATAAATTTATTAATCAATTTTCCTAGTTATCAGACTTACTGCCTCAGTACCACAATCACAGACTTCATTTCCCTCTAATCTGCCATTGCCACAGGATGGTTTCTGAACTCCTTGCATTTGTGGCTTGTTCTGAAGACATTTGGCACCCATATTTGAAATGAAATTTTGAAAGTTCCTCAAACTGCAACTGCTAAAAGTCTTCACACCACTGGATTGCCTAAAAATGAATCCATATAATGTCATTGGCAATATACTTCTGAAAACACATTCCTATATGATATAAATTAATTTTGAAATGTTAAATTCAATTGGCAATTACAAATGTTTATAATAAGTGCTTAGAGGCCAAAATCATACTTGAGGATGTCATGTGATTTTATTCACTGGAAAATATGCTCTTATTAAAACAAAATTAAGTACAATTCAATAGCAAAACATAAACATAGTAGTCCAATTTTAAAACAGGCAAAGGATTTGAACAGATATTATTCCAAATAAAAATCAGCACCCAGATTTGGACAGATACTTCAAATAAAAATTAACACCCAATTAACTACAAAATTTTATTAAACAAATGATACTGTGCTTAGTCCTAAACTTCCTCAAAAATCTCAAAAAAATTGTATATTTATCAAATTTATATATTATTATGTCCATATATAAATAATAAAGAGAATTCAGAGAACAGTTCCATAGGATGAGTCAGTCAATTTTCACTACATTTTTATGTGATAAACATCTGTAAGGCAAGAAAGAAACAGATTTATTGAGTACCTATTATGTGCCAGATTTCATTACCTAATCCTTACCACAAACCAAAAGGTTGGTATTGTCATCATTTTACATAAATTGAACTAAAGTTCAGATAAGCTAAAATCCTTAAAAGTCAGCTTGTAAATTGGCAGAATGAGTATTCACACACAGTTTTTTTAATTGTATATATTTATGGTGTACAACATAATGTTTCAATATAGGCATACATTGTGGAATAATTAAATCAAGCTACTTAACAAATTATCTCACATACTTACCCTTTTTATGTTGAAAGAACATTTAAAACCTACTGTCTTAGCAATTTTCAAATTCAGTGCATTCTTTTTAACCACTGTCACCATGCTGTACAAATTCACAACAGCCTTGATATGGAATCAACATGTCTGTCAATATACAAGTGGACTCAGAAAAATCAAAATAAATATTTTTAAAGATAATAATTAAATCAACTTGGACAAGTAAAAAAAGAAATGTGTTATATATACACACAACAGAATACTATTCAATCATTAAAAAAAGAAGAAAATCCTGTCATCTGCAACAATATAGATGAAGAAGCTACTGAATATTATACTCAGTAATATAAGCCAGGCACAGAGAGAAAAATACTATATAATCTAACCATGAGTTTGTCCTAGGTTCCTACATTCATAGTTATTCCCATTTCATGTGCCCCTTCCCTTTTTTCACTTCTGAACTGGTTTGTCTGTGTATATTGTCTTTAAGATATGAGATGTGGAAGAGGAGGCAGAGCAAGATCATGGAATAGAACCCTCCAGCAATCATTCCTCAGTAGGGACACTGAAGTGAACAATTATCCATGCAAGAAAACACCTTCACAAGAGATAAAGGAATGAGGTAAAAGATCACAGTAACTGGTTTTGGCATAGTAACAAGAAAAGACATATTGAAGAGAGTAGAAATGATAGTTTTGCAATACTACACTGTCCCTTCCCCAATCTAAAGCAGTGCAACATAGAGAGTGAATTTGTCAAGAGAGATAGGGCATGTTCAGGGTCGAATGTGTCTTTCAGGAGAGGGAGAAGGAAGTGTACATGGGGCTTTGCCTGAGAAACCTGTACCAGCCCCACTGCAGTAAAACACAGCACCAGGATGAATCCCACAGTCCTGTTCCAGGCTGGTGCCCACAGAATTCTAGACCTTCCCCAGTTCAGAAGGAAATACACCACCCCAATAGGATGGAGCCAAGCCTTGGCCAACTTCAACACTCACTGATGAAAGAAGCTTTAGGCCATGTATAAATACTAGTGACAGTCAGGTAATAGTGACTGTGGGTGTTAGGTGAGCAAATCCCCTTAACCATTACTCTGCTGGTCTATGAGGCCATGGGCTTCAGGTGTAAGCCAGTATGCTGCCAGTTGCAGGGGCCATGAAAGTGCATGCATCACCTCTCCCGCAACTCCAGACAGCGGAGTTTAGACAGCAACTCCTTCTGCTAGCGGAAAAGAAAGGAAGTGAGCGAGAGACTTTGGGCTTGGAAATCCAAGTCCACCAAGGTTGGATACATAGGGAGTCACAGCATAATTGAGTTTAAGGTGCTATCTAGTGCTGAAATGGCAGCAGCAACCACAGTCTTGACTCATCAGTCAGTACTCTTGAAATTTGTGTAAGGTCCTCTGAAGAAGAGCCAGTACAAACAAGGCCAGACCATGAAGACTAGAATAAATATTTAATTCTTTAAAGCCCAGATATATCCATAAGCATTAATAACATTCAGGAAAATATGATTCCATCAAACATAATAAGACACCAGTAACCAAACCTGGAGAAAGCTCTTACACAGATAATATAAAATAGATATTTTGAGGAAGCTCAAATAACATTAAGAAAACACAGAGAAACAATTCAGAAAATTATCAGAGATAGTTAAATAAGAGATTGAAATAATTTTTAAAATCAAGCAGAATTCCTGGAGCAATAATAGATAAACTGAATAATTAATACGTGTTAGAGGGTCTCAAAAGCAGAAGTGATCAAACAAAAGGAAGAATTCATGAGCTCAAACACAGGGTATTTGAAAATACATCAAGAAGAAAAAAAAGCAATTGAACAAAGAGCACTTAGTGGATCAATTAGATAATATCAAAAAGCAAATGTAACAGTCATTGACCTTCAAAGGGAGTAGAGGAAGAGAAAGGGGTTAGAAAAGGTTATTCAAATAAATGATAATGGAAAATTATCTAAACCTAAATATAAATATCCAGTTACAAGAAGGTCAAAAATCACCAAGAAGATTTAACCCAAATAAAACTATCTCAAGGCATATAATAATCAAACTCTCAAAGGTCAAGGACAAGAGAGACCCCTAAAAGCAACAAGAGAAAAGAAGCAAATAAACTATTAAGGAGTTCCAATACATCTGGCAGCAGAATTCTCTAGGGAAACCTTAAAGACCAGGAGAGAATGGGATGACATATTTCAAGTCCCCAAGGAAAAAAACTTTCAGCCAAGAATATTGTACCCAGAAAAAGTATCCTTCAAAATGAAGGAGTGATTCAAAACACCTAGGCCAACAAAAGTGGAGGTAATTCACCACCATCAAACCATAAGAAATATTAAAGTAAGTTCTTCAGTCTAACAGAAAAGGATGCTAATGAGCAACAAAAAAATGTGAAGAAATAAAAGTAAGTAAACAAATTTAGCACACTCTAACACTGTAACTATGGTGTGTAAATCATTCATATCTTTGGTATGAAGATTAAAAGCCAAAGATATTGAAAACAATAACAAATTTTAAGAGCTAGGTAATATAAAAAAATGTAAATTTAGAGATTAAAAAGTCAAAACTGGGGAGAAGGGAGTTAAAGTGTAGAGTTTTTTAGGTTATGTTTGTTTCATTCTTTGTGATCAAAAAATGGTTATTATCAAAAAGAAAAAATTACACACTATAAAAGATGGAGATAAAGGCAATATCTTGAATATTCGTAGTGAAAATGTAAATTACATGACCATTATGAAAAATAGTATGAATCTTCCTCAAAAACTTAAAAATAGGACTACTATATGATCCAGCAATCCACTACTGAGCATATATCTACAAAAAATAAATCAGAATGTCAAAGAGATATCTGCACTCCCATGTTTACTGCAGGACTATTCACAATTGCAAAGACATGAACTTATTCTAAATGCCCATTTACAGATAAACTAATTTTTTAAATGTGGTATATATGTATATATAAAAAAAGAATGTTATTTCACCATAAAAAAATGAAATCCTATCATTTCTGACAACATGAAGGGAGCTGGAGGACATTATATTAAGTGAAATAAGCCAGATACACAGACAACCACCACATGATCACACTCGTGTGAAATTTTTAAAAAGTTGATATCATAAAAATAGAGAAGCTGGTGAGGGAAAGAGAGAGAGGAAGACGGGGAGAGGTTGGTTAGTGTGTACAATGATAGCTAAATGGGAAGAGAAAGTTCTGGAATTTTATTATACAGTAGGGTGACTATATAAAATAACAATGTAGTGCATATTCCAAGATAGCTAAAAGAGCAGATTTTGAATGTTATCACCCTGCTGAAATGATAAATGTTTAAAGTGATAGATATGGGAATTACCCTAATTTGAACATTATGCAATGTAGCATATGTTGAAACATTACGCTGTACCCCATATGCATGTAAACATTTTGATTCATTATAAATTTTAAAAATGTATGAATGAAAAAGGTATGAGTTGCCCACCTTTAAAAAGCATATATAAATTAAACTATCAACATAATATATCAGGAATAGGAGGGGGCTTCAAAATGGCTGACTATGGGAGCCTGGTACTTTTCTCATGCACAAAAAAGACCAAAAGAGCAAATAGATAATCAGAGGTTCTAAGATAAAACACCGGAATTTACTGGAGAAGTGACAAATAACCTCTGAGGCATAGAAAGAGAGAGAAGCAAAACAGCCAGCCTGGCCACAATCAGCTCAAATCCCGAAGCAACTCCTCATTGCAAGAAAAAGTAAGCAAGATCCAAGACATCCACATTTCTATTGTGGACTCCTGCAATCCTAGTGACAGGACAGTCCCTTAGCCAACACAGGCTCTGAGATTAGTGTAGGCAGGTGCCTCAAGTCCACAAGTTGGTACTGTTCCACAGAGGATGTTTGTGCTGGGTCCCAAATACCCCCATCCCCTTCCCACCAAGACCCAAGCTGACACAGCACTACAGCATTTTGAGAGCCTAGCCCCACCAAACCACCAGATTCAAGTTCAGATCCTGAACTGAATCCCAACAGTTCTGGCATCTCCACATCCCTATCGCCCTACTGGCATAACCCCACATCCACCCAGAGGGCTGCACTATCACAAAATAGGATTGTCCTAGGCATATAATTGTGTCTCTAGCACTCTTGCTGATTTAGTGTCCTATAGCCCAGGAAGCACTTTGCCACTACCCATTGGAGTTTTGTGGCCAGCAGTCTAGGAACACCTTGGTTCTGCCATGGCAGCAGGTTCCTAATCTCAAGGAGCCAGAGAACAAAGCTGGGGCCTGATACTAGTTCCACAGAGTTAGAGCATGCAGTCCAGGAATCCTGAGCTCCAGAGAGAAGCACTACCAGGAAAGGAAAGACCATTACCAGTCACTATAAAAACACTGAAATACACAGAGCAGTGACACTATAAAGCAACCACATAAACAAGTCTGCAAAATAACCAGGTAACACGATGACAGTATCAAATTCACATATATTAATACTAACATTTAATGTAAACAGGCTACATGCCCCAATTAAAAGGCATGTAGTGGCAAGCTAGAAAAAGAAATAAGACCCAATGGTATGCTATCTTCAAGAGAACCACCTCACATACATAGGCTCAAAATAGAAGAATGGAGAAAAATCTACCAATCAAATGGAGAATAGGAAAAGCAGATGTTGCAGTCCTAATTTCAGACAAAACAGACTTTAAACGGATGAAGATTAAAAAAAGACAAAGAAGGGCACTACATAATGGTAACAGTTAGAAACGACAAAGGGGATGTTACCACTGACCCCAAAGAAATGCAAATAACCATCAGAGACTACTACAAACACCTCTGCGCACAAGCTAGGAAATCTAGAAGAAATGAATATATTCTGGGACACATACAATCTCCCAAGACTGAACCGGCAAGAAATTAAATCCTGAAACAAACTAATAACAAGTCCTGAAATTGCATCAGTAAAAAATAGGCAACTAACCGAGAGAGAAAGCCCAAGACCACACAGAGTCACAGCCAAATTCTACCAGATGTACACAGAAGAGCTGGTACCATTCCTGCTGAAACTCCTTCTTTACGCCACATACATAAATCAATTCAAGGTTGATTAATGACTTAAATGTAAAGCCCAAAAGGTAAAAACCCTGGAAGACAACCTAGGTAATAATCATTCTGTACATAGGAACTGGCAAACATTTCATGATGAAGACTACAAAAGCAATTACAACAAAAACAAAAATTAGGATTTGATTAAAGAGCTTCTGCACAGCAAAATAAATTGTCAAAAGAGTAACAAACAGCTTACAAAACAGGAGAACATATTTTGAAACTATGCATCTGACAAAGGTCTAATATTCAGCTTCATAAGGAACCTAAAAAAATTTACAAGAGAAAAACAAGCAACCCTATTAAAAAGTGGGCAAAGGACAAGAATAGGCACTTTTTAAAAGAAGACATACATGCAGCCAACAAGCACATGAAAAAAAAGCTCAAAACCACTGATTATTAGAGAAATGCACATCAAAACCACAATGAGATACCATCTCAAACCAATCAGCATGGTTATTATTAAAAAGACAAAAAACAGATTCTGGTGAGGTTGTGAAGAAAGAGGAACACTTATAAACTGTTGGTGGGAGTGTTAATTAGTTCAACCATTGTAGAAAACAGTGTGGGATTCCTCAAAAAACTAATAATAGAATTACCATTCAACCCCGCAATGTGATTACCAGGTATATACCGAAAGAAATATAAATCATTCTATCATAAAGACTCATGCATGTATGTGTTCATTGCAGCACTATTTGAAATAGCAAAGACATGAAATCAACCTCAATGCCCATCATTGGTAGACTGGATAAAGAAAATGTGGTGCATACACACCATGGAATACTATGCAACCATAAAAATAATGAGATCATGTCCTTTGTAGAACCATGGATAAAGATGGAGGCCATTATCCTTAGCAAACTAACAGGAACAGAAAACTAAATACCACATGTTTAGGCACTAAAGGATGAGAACACATAGACACATACAGAGGAACAACACTGGGTACTATTTGAGGGTGGAAGGTGGGAGGAGGGAGAGGATCAGAAGAAAACAACTACTGGGTACTAGGCTTAGTACCTGTGTGGCAAAATAATCTGTACAATAAACCCCCATGACACAAGTTTACTTATATAACAAACCTGCACATGTACACCTGAACCTAATATAAAAGTTTAAAAACACACACATGAATAGAATAATTCCATTTAAAAGTGGCAAAGGATTTGAATAGACATTTCTCAAAGGAAGACATACAAATTACCAACCTGCTCTTTTCTGACATGAAAAAATATTCAACATCAATAATCATTGGAAATTTTTAAATCAAAATCACTATGAGATACCATCTCACCTCAGTTAGAATGGCTATTATCAAAAAAGATGTAAACTAACAAATACTGGTAATGATGTTGAGAAAAGGCAACTCATGCACTATTAGTGGGAATGTAAATTCATATATCCATAATAGGAAGTATTGTGGAGGCTTCTCAAAAAAATTGAACTACAACTACAATACAAACCAGCCATCTTTTTACTTGGTATTTATACAAATGAAAGGAAATCAGTATATTAGAAAGATACCTGAACCTTCATGTTTATTGCAGCACTATTCACAATAGCCAAAACATAGAATCAATGTAAATGTGAATCAATGGATGAATGGATAAAGAAAATGTGGTATATACATCACAGTGGAATACTATTCAACCATAAAAAATGAAAATTTTTCATTTGTAACAACATGAATGGAACAGGAGGTCATTATGTTAAGTGAAAAAAGCCAGGCACAAAAAGGCAAATATCACAATTTTCAACCATGTGCAGGAGTTAAAAAGTTTAACTCATAAAGATATAAAGTAGAATGATGCTTTCTAAAGACTGGGAAGAGTGGGTAGGGGAATCAAGAGAGGTTAGTTTTAAAAAAAAGAAGAATGAAACAAGGCTTTGAAATTAGATAAACTTGTGACTAATGCCAACCCTATGACTTATGAGGCCTTAGGCAAAGTGATTAAATTATCTAAGTCCTACTTAATTTTCTCATCTGCATAATAGGGATTATGCTCATCTACCTCATAGATAGGTGAGGCTGCGAGAATTAAATATAATTAATAAGTGAGTGTGTAATTCAATTATCTAGTTTTTAATAGGTACCCAATAAATCACTGCTAGTATTACTGATACCACTAAAGTTTGTCCATTAATTAACTGTGTATCTAGTAAAAGTAGATCACTTTGGCAACCTATAATCCAGGGACTTTTTAATAAACACATTAAATTTAAATATGTAATTAATGACATGCTTTCTTTGTGAATTAACATAAAATAATGTGTGAGATTTACTGTGGATATGCAAAAGAGTTACACATGTGCTATTATTAGATTTTGTAAAAATTAATATAATATTTTAATCATACACAAGTGATTTGTAAGAAATTGGAGATTATATATTGAAGGCTTTTTAAACATAAAGTACCATATGATCCTAAAGGTTTACTAAACAGATTCAAAACCCAAGTCTGCCACGAACTAGCCATCTGACCATGGGTAATTATCCTTTTTATAACTTAGCCTCTCATCTGTAAAAATGGGAATAATAGGAACTGCCCTATAGAGATATTGTGAGAATCAAGTAAGTTAATATATGTAAAGTGCTTGGAATGGTCTCTAAAACGTAGTAAGTACAATGTAAATATTTGTTCATCTTATTATCATTAATCTTAGGCCCTGGACATGTTGTCCTAGCATACTTGGGAGTAGCTGGCCATGTGAACAATTAGCTCAAAATAATTATTCTCATATTGTTGTGCTATAGATAGATAGATAGATAGATAGATAGATAGATAGATGGATTCCATTTATCCATCTATATGGATATATGCATATCATATATATATATTGATATGTGGACATGTGTGTGTGTATATATATGCATATCATGTATATATGTTCACATATATATGACATGATATACATATATGATATGGCATATATATATATGCATATATATGTATATATGTGGATATATATGCCAGGCATATATATACACACGCACATACTTTTAGAGCTAATTTGTAATATAATTGCATTATATAAACTATGTTGAGTTCAAGCTATTTTTATGGGTATATATGTTGAGTTTTAGTTATTTAGAACATAAGAGTTAACTTTAAAAGGTGCTTAGAAGTACCCATAAATATAATATGTTTTCAAATTTTAATGTCTTATTTTCACTTCTGATCTTTGACTGTTCTTCAGGAATGAATAGGTTATGCATACCATAGGTCATTTTACAAACAGAAAAACTACAAAATACTAATGACAGCTGCTGTAGTTCTTATCTGATATACCATTTTGGAAAGATTGATGAGTTTAGAAACCACTCTAGCTAATCAATCACATACTCATAGAATTCTACAATTTAGAAAAACCCTTTCCTATTTCTCTTTCTTCTTTCATTCTTACATCGCCCTGTGAAATAAAAGAAAATAGGCATAATTATTCCCATTTAAAGATGAGAAAAATAAATCTAGGCAAAGTCAAGTAATTTATCCCAAGTCACACAAATATATATATGTAAATATATGTAAATATACATATATATTTATATATATATAAAATGTTGGTCTCCAATTAGGACTTCTGACTTTTTTAGATAACAAGTTTTTTTTCATAATACCAAACTATGCTAAAAGTAAAACCGAAAAAAACCTTGTCTAAAACAAAGACCACTTATTATGGCCTGCTGCCATATTTTTAAAGATCCTTACTAAGTGCTTTCATATTCTTTTGCTAATATATCTTGCAGATTGGATTTGTTATCCTTGATTGTCTTTAATGAACACTTCATACTACTTTTACACTTAAAATTACATGTTTATATTTTGTAGTCAACTTGGTACATTGATAGCTAATTTGTGCTTTAAGTAAATACTAAATTTTCAGACTCTGAATATTTAAAATGAAATAAACATAAGCAATAAATGAACATTTTGTTAAAACTTACATAGCTTCTGGATTCATTATACAGATGGATTCTGAACATTGACATTTCTTTGGGTCATCGTATGATATTCCCAGATTGAGGGCCAGCATCTGGGTGACAATAACTGAAAACGTCTCCAGAGTTATCTCCTTGGGGTACTATAATACAACAAAAAAATTATAAGGAAAGATAATTCTTTAAAGGATGGCTTAAAACATGTCTAATTGTGCACATTTTATTGTTTTATCAAATGCTAAATAATTAGGGAGATATGGATCCTTCAATAGGTGAAAAGATGAAGCTCTTCTTATGAAGTTATACTGAGATTGAAGCATATTGAGTGTATGCCAAGCTTTGTGATAATTTAGCAATTGAATACCTAACATAATTCTTAGGTAGTTACTATCAATATATAAAAGACTCATTTCAATGAAGAAAATCTACATTATGGTGTTGGTTATATGGACCATAATCTTCAACTCATCTAATTTTTTACAATGGCTCTAATACTAATTTTGGATAATCCATCTCATCTCCCCACTACCAGCTCATGAAATGGCCACATAATCAAATGACCCAATTTAAGTGCTCACCCTGCTGCCTGCTAGAAACCTCATTGACACAGTGACTGATGTGAAAAGAAGCCACAGAAAACGGATCCTTGAGATGGCACTATTGGATTAGGCTGTTCATATATTAAACACAGGTAACTTCTTTGTGAAAAAGAAATGGGGCACTAGTAATTCATGGTATGCAATGGCATCATGATTTCTCAAATTATCACCAAAGCTGGCATAGGATATGATGCAGGAGGAGGCCAAGTTGTGAGTTATGGTGACAAAAGGGATAATAAAGATTTTGGAGTCAACCAATTTCTTATGACAGCCCTAAAGGATGCATATAATGAAGAATAGAAAGGGAACGCTGCAAATGAGCAATGGAAAATGTAAACAGGGAATCAGAAACCCTCTGCAGCAGCAATCAAGTAACTCATCTGTAGTCATGGATTGACATGGCTAAGGACCAAGCTGGAACCCACCAGATTTGGTGGGAAAAGCATTAGCATCTGAAACTTGGGAGGTGAACAATTGGAATAACATCTCTTTACTTCCTTTGCCATCAGAGAAAGCTCTCTCCAAACAATGAAAGAGCCTCTACATTTGAAAAAAAAAGAAAAAGAAAGAAAAAGAAAAAAAAAGTTTTCATGATGTTAGCTGGAACATTAGTCTCACTACCCCACAGTGCCTCTAGGTCCATATCAAGAATTAATTCCCAACATGGTCTTGAAGGAGAAGTATAAATGTACTGCTCTGGAAGGGGATAATTTGTACTTTGAAAGGGATTGATCAGACAATATGAAATAGAAGGCTAGACTGGAACAAATTTAGTGTAATTCATAACTCACCTTGGATTTTGTATTTAATGTGCCAAGTAAAAGCAGGAGCCATGTTAACTGAAGTTAGATTTAACAGGAGCCTACTGTCCTCAAGGTGAAAATATGGGAGTTTTCCTGGCATACCGTAGGTGAAGAAGTGCTGAGTTTCAGGAATATGGTAATATTGAATGAATCTACTGTGTGGAACCTGTTGGGTAACTACGCTTGATCAAACTTTCAAGGAGGGTTGGAAGGATATTTCCTTCAAGACGCTAGGAAATGCTTTGTGAAAGACACACAATATCATCAAAACTCTCTGCTAGTTGATTTTTGTAGAGTGGAGATGATGGTAGCACATAGTGCAATGGAACTTAGTTCTCTGAAACCAATGGAGTTTTGTGGGAGAGAGGGGTTGTTTTTAGTTTTTATGAGGGTTTTTTAAGACAGAGTTTCACTCTTGTTGCCCAGGGTAAAGTGCAATGGTGTGATTTTGGCTCACTGCAACCTCCACCACCTGGGTTCAAGTGATTCTCCTGCCTCAGCCTTCTCAGTAGCTGAGATTACAGGCACCCACCACTATGCCTGGCTAATTTTTATATTTTTGGTAAAGATGGGGTTTCGCCATGTTGCCCAGGCTGGTCTCAAACTCCTGACTTCAGGTGATCCAACCGCCTCGGCCTCCCAAAGTGCTGTGATTACAAGCCTAAGCCACCACGCCCGCCCCCAATAGGAACACTGAGACTAAGGAGAGTTACAGGACAGGTGACACTGCTTAACTGAGACAAGGTAGGTGCAATTACCACCAGAAGCTAAAGAGGCTTACAGATTATCAAAGTTGTTTTGACCTACAGTGATTATGATAATTATTTCAGGGTCCCTAAATCACACTGAAGGTTTTCTTGACATTCTAGGTCTAGTGCCAAAAACCTAACATGAGGTGCTATGATGCAAATTCCCAAGCCTAAACCAAATCGCACCCTCAGGGATTCTCAACTAAGAGAGTACCTTTGAGGAATGAACCTGTTATAAAGATGAAACTGTCACTATTCCCCACCCAAGCCTTCCACAGAGGGACCTGTAGCTATTCACAGAATAACTGTACACAGGAAAAAGAATACTCAACTTCTCTTCATCTTCCCCCTACCCACTGGTAACCACCATTCTGCTCACTGCCTTTATGTACAACTATTATGTATCAACAAAAAATAAGTTTCTAAAAACATGCTATAAAATGTTTTAATTTAAGTCTTTTAAGAAACAAAAAAATATATGTATCAATCAAAATATTAATAGTGGTTATCTCCACTTAATGTAGTTTTTGTTTGCTCTTATTTTGAATCTATTTTATCTACAAGAATATTTCTCCAATTTTATGTGTGCAAGCAAAAATCTATTGGACTTACAGAAATTTTATTGAAGATAAGTTTTCACAATGCATTACTCTATATATGCAACAAGATATTGATCTATAAAATATTCTTTCTTCTACACACTTTAAAATTTTAACAGTAATGAAAAACAAATGCAAATCCGTAAATGTAAACATACACATAAATTGTATAAAATACATGCTATCACATTAAATAATTTTTAAGTGTGTTAATTTTTAAAAATAAGATTAAATAGTTACATACAAATGCAACTCCTGCAGAATAACGAGTAATACACATCTTTCCAGGAAACGTTGCTCCCACATAATCAGGGTAATCCCTATAACTAAATAAATAAGTTTACATTTATAATTGATTTTAACAGACAATTTAAATGTGAGAATTCCTACTTATAATTTAAGTCTGCAGTTCATAAAATCCAAATCTAAAGCAAACTGAGGTATGATCTTTCCATACATCCTTAATTGTTTCTTTGGAATATCATTTAATATGACATATTAGTATTAATTCCATTAAATGCCCTTGATATCTGAACATATCCAATAGATCCAAGTTTCAAGGCCTTTAGTGTCCTCATCACATCTGGTTATGCTTACCAAAGGCTTTGCTCCAATATTCTGATAAAAAATGCTTTGTCAAGTGACAATGACAAATCGTTTTAATATATAGATTAAAATGTGTTGCTCCCTATAGGGGAGTTCAACAGTTCAACAGTTTCCTGTAGGAATGCTTTATTGTTTCACACCTAAACATTATTATTTAAGCTTTGAGGAAAGGGCCATATAAACTGTCATATAATAATAATAATATTCTCAGAGCTTTACATTACCTGATGCATTTAATTCTCAAAAAAAAAAACTAGTGAAGTAGTTATTATTTTTGTCACTATTAAGCAAAACAAATACCAGATGGGAAGTGAAAGAAACTCTCTCAAGGTAGCATGATTAATAAATCCTACTGAAGGATCTGAACTTAGGCAGTCTGAATCCAAGCCATATTCTCAACCACTAAGGTATAGATGCTTGGAGCATCTATACCACTAAGCATCTCAAATGCTTAGTCTTGCTTTGGCTATGTGGGCTCTTTTTAGGTTCCACATGAATTTTAGAATTTTTTTTCTAATTCTGTGAAGAATGATGGTGGTATTTTGACTGGGGATTGAATTGAATTTGTAGGTTCTTTTGGCAGTATGGTCATTTTCACAATATTGATTCTACCCATACATGAGCATGGGTTGTATTTCTATTTGTTTGTGTCATCTATAATTTATTTTGTTTTGTAGTTTTGTAGTTTTCCTTGTAGAGGTCTTTCTACTCCTTAGTTAAGTATATTACTAAGTATTTTTTTTCAGCTATTGTGAAAGGAGTTGAGTTCTTGATTTGATTCTCTACTTGGTCACTGTTGGTACATAGAAGAGCTACCGATTTGTGTACATTAATCTTGTATCCAGAAACTTTGTTGAATGCTTTTATTAGATCTAGAAGCTTTCTGGAGAAGTCCTTAGAGTTTTCAAGGTAAATGATCGTATTGTCAGCAGTGACAGTTTGACTTCCTCTTTACCTACATAGATGGCTATAAGGGCTTTTTGAATGCTTAGATACTAACTTTTTTTATCTCTATGACAAATACATTTTCATATCTATAATTTTTCTATAAACTTTTTTCTTTGCTACATGAAAACTTTTACATTTCATATGGCCAAATTTGTTAATCTTTTCTTTCTACTTTTGGGTTTCCTGAATAGTGTAGAAGGTCTCTCCCACCCCCAGATTTTAGTCTGCTAAATTTTTCTTTGGGATTAATATATTACTTCTTATAGAGTACGGAATTCATAGTTAGAACTGGAGTTGAACCTTTGAAGGAGGAAGGAAAGGAAACAAACATTGACTAAGCAAGACAGTAGATCTTGACATCTGATTTGATGTGAAGTGGGCACATCAAAAGATGTCAGTATGAAGTAAAATATATGTTACTGAGCTCATCAGGAGTATGCATAGAATAGAGAACCCAGAAATAAACCCAAATACTTATAGCCATCTGATCTTCAACGAAGCAAACAAAAACATAAAGTGGGGAAAACACCCGATTCAACAAATGGTGCTGGGATAACTGACAAGCCACATGTAGGAGAATGAAACTGGATCCTCACCTCTCACCTTGTACAAAAATAAACTCAAGATGGATTAAGCACTTAAATGTAAGACCTGAAACTACAAAAATTCTATAAGATAACATTGAAAAACCCCTTCCAGACGTTGGTGTAGGCAAGAATTTCATAACAAAGAACCCCAAAGCAAATCCAGTAAAAACAAAGATAAATAGTTGGGACTTAATTAAACTGAAGATCTTTCCCACAGCTAAAAGAATAGTGGGCAGAGTAAACATATAATCCACAGAGTGGAAGAAAATCTTCATAATCTATACATCTGACAAAAGCCTAATATTCAGAATCTACAATGAACTCAAACAAATCAATAAGAAAAAACAAACAATCCCATCAAAAAGTGGGCTAAGGACATAAATAGACAATTCTCAGAAGAAGCTATACAAATGGCCAACAAACATGAATAAATGCTCAACATCACTAATGATCAGGGAAATGTAAATCAAAATCACTATGCAATACCACATTATTCCTGCAAGAATGGCCATAATAAAAAAACAGTGGATGTTGGCATGGATGCAGTGATCAGAGGACACTTCTACACTGTTGGTGGAAATGTAAACTATGGAAAACAGTGTGGAGAATCCTTAAAAATCTAAAAGTAGAACTACCATTTGATCCAGCAATCCCACTACTGGGTATCTACCCGGAGGAAAAGAAATCATTCGTTGAAAAAGATACTTGTGGCCGGGCACAGTGGCTAAAGCCTGTAATCCAGCACTTTGGGAGGCCAAGGTGGGTGGATCATGAGGTCAAGAGATCAAGACCATCCTGGTCAACATGGTGAAACCCCATCTCTACTAAAAATACAAAAAAAAAAAAAAATTAGCTGGGCATAGTGGCGTGTGACTGTAATCCCAGCTACTCAGAAGGCTGAGGCAGGAGAATTGCCTGAACCCAGGAGGCGGAGGTTGCAGTGAGCTGAGATCACACCATTGCACTCCAGCCTGGGTAACAAGAGTGAAAGTCCGTCTCAAAAAAAAAGAAAAAGAAAAAGATACTTGTACACGCATGTTTATTGCACCACAATTCACAATTGCAAAATCGTGAAACCAACCCAAATGCCTATCTATCAACAAGTGGATAAAGAAACTGTGGCATATATATACAATGGAATACTACTAAGCCATAAAAAGGAATGAATTAACAGCATGTGCAGTGACCTGGATGAGATTGGAGACTATTATTCTAAGTGAAGTAACTCAGGAATGGAAGACCAAACTTCGCATGTTCTCACTGATATGTGAGAGCTAAGCTAAGAGGACGCAAAGGCATAAGGATGATACAATAGACTGTGGAGACTTAGGGAGAAGAGTGGCAGGGAATGAGTGATAAAAGACTGCAAATTGGGTTCAGTATATACTGCTTGGGTGATGGATGCACCAAAATCTCACAAATCATCACTAAAGAAATTATTCATGTAACCAAATACCACCTGTACCCCAATAACTTATGGGAAAAAATATGAATATTGAAGATAATGAAATTATTTTTAAAGCCCTTACAAATTATAAGGAAATAGTCATATGACAAGAAAAGGCAATTACAGAAAGACAGATACAAATGGCCTACAAGCATTTGAAAAGATGCTCAAATCCATCAGTCATCAAGAAAAAGGCAAATTAAAATGACAATGACATTAAGTTGGATCCATCAGACTACCAAAAATTAAAAGAGCAATAACATTTATGGCTGGCAAAGATGTGATGGAAAGATTAGTCTCACACAAGCAAAAGAAAATATTGACATGCCAAACTTAAATATACATATAGACATATATAGTTTTATTGAAAGACATTTGCTGATTATTGCTAATAAATTAAATATGAATAAAATTATAAATATATAGCTATAATTTATAATTAGAAAACTAACATTTTTAAATTACTCAGAAAATTCATTAGGATAAAATCTTTGTAGCCACGTTTATCCAGCCTTTGGTCAAAGCTCATATAAGAATACAAACCTCTCAGGATAAATTCCATCTCTTTAAGTAGTGGTTAAGAATATTGGCTCTAGAGTTACAAACTGTAGGTTCAAACCTTAGAAGTACCACCAGATCCAAGAATTCCAAGCTGGCTTAACCTCTTGAAACTCTCAACATCTTCATTTAGAAAAGCTTTATAAGCATAGAAATAAATGTTAGTAATGTTTTTTATTGCCTGACAACCAGAAATTGAGCACAAAGCCTGAATAAAGCACATACTAAATAATCAAAGCATGGATATTCAGAAACGAATAAATTGTTTAAATTAAGCTACATAATTATCACAGATGTTTGTTTTCTTTCTAGAAATAATGCAACATTATTCTTACATTAGTAGATATGCAATATCATGAGGCCTTAGGTTAAGATAAGATTGCTTCCATTCTAAAAATCTTTGCAATAGTTCATCTGCCTCACCAACTGTAGAAATCTTATTTTCCTCTGACCACAATTCCAATGATGACAGCACAATAGTAACTTTAAATTGGGTAAACATCTAAAAACAGAATAGATAAATACATGCATGATTGATCTTTATTTTATAAAGCCCTAGAAATTAATTCAATGTTTTTACAACTCCACACTCAGTTTATAGGGGTGGGTTAATTATCCAGGAATATCACATCAAGTTTAGGCAAATTATCATTTCAAAACAAAAATTATTTTATATAAAAAGGAAAATACTTACTGAATTTGCAAGGCCAATAATTTCGACAACTTTATTTGTTACTATCATGCTATCAGAGCCCAAGTAATCATACTGAAAAACAGAATTAATTTTATACTTAAGTACAATTTATTATGTAGTGTTTTTAAGAGTCATTTCAATCTAGAGATGTGAGGCTGCTTTGGAATTCAATAATTCAAAATAAAACATTAATAAGTAAATAATAAATATAAACTGGATCCCTCATGCATTGCTGGTGGGAATATAAAATGTTAGAGCCACTCTGGAAAATAAACTTATTTCAAAACAAAGAATGAATTTACCATATGGACCAGAAATCTCACTACTGAGCTTTTATCTCAAAGAAATAAAAGCTGATGCTCACACAAATACTTGTATATGAATGTCTATAACAGCTTTATTCATAGCAGCTAAAAACTAGAAACAACTCATATGTCCTTCAATGGTTAAATGGTTAAATAAACTCTAGTACATTCCTACCATAAACTCAGCAATGAAAAGAAACAAATGTTGATGTATGGAACCACCTGGATAAACCTCAAGAAAATTATACTCAGCATAAAAACACAATCTCAAAAGGATATAGACTGCCTGATAACTTTATGCAACGTGTGTGAAATCACAAAGAAGAATGGCTTAGCGGATACCAAGGGCTCAGGAGATCGGTGTGACTCTAAAGGGATCACACAGGACAGTCCTGTGGTGATGGTACTGTTAAGTATCTCAGTTGTGGCCATGGTTATGGAAGGCTACCTATGTAATACCATTGCATAAAAGCACACACACAAATGAGTGTGTGTGCATACGTACACATACATATACATCTCTCTTGAAATCTAAAAAACTGGATTGCAACTATGTCAAACTCTATATATCCATAGACAAACTCTTATAATACATCACTGTGGATGTTCCACAAGAGCCTCAAATTATCCCAAAGTAAACTCATATCCAAAATTAAAATATTCAAAACTTAATTCATCTCTTCCTTCAAAAATATGTTCCCACTTATATTTTCACTACTGTAGTGAATCGTATTATCATCTACCGCACCCTACATTTATTACACTACATGCTCCACGAGAGCAGAAACTGTTCTGTTTTATTCACTGCTATATCCCCAATAGCTAGAACAGCAACTGGTTATCTAGAAGATGCTCAATGAATTTGTTAAGTAAATGAATAAATCAATCAAATCAAGTTCTTCTAATTCAACCCAATCAGTAACTTTTAAAGATGTTCCTTTATTTTTATTTCTGATGCCACTAATTTATGTTTTCACCTTGATCATTAGAATAGTCTTTTATTTATTTATTTATTTATTTATTTATTTATTTAAGATGGAGTCTCACTCTGTCACCCAGGTTGGAGTGCACTTGGCTCACTGCAACCTCTGCCACCAGGTTCAAGCAATTCTCCTGCCTCAGCCTCCCAAGTAGCTGGGATTACAGGTGCACACCACTATGCCTGGCTAATTTTTGTACTTTTAGTAGAGATGGGGTTTCGCCATGTTGGCCAGGCTGGTCTCAAACTCCTGACCTCATGATCCACCTGCCTCGGCCTCCTAAAGTGCTGGAATTACAGGCATGAGCCATCCTGCCTGGTCTAGAATTGGCTCTTAAATGGTTCCTCCTACCTGTTTTCCCACCAGCAATTTGGTCCCTACACTATTACCAAAATGATTATTCTAAGGTAAAACAGAACTATGTCACTCCCCTATTTAAAATATTTCTCTCCTTACTGACCTCAGTGTGGGCCCTGAATGATGTAGAGTGTCCCCTACCATTGGAAACTGACTAACAACCTGTCTTTTCAATAGCAACCATCTCCTGATCTGTTGGCTTCAATATAGATGAGTAATAATAAACCTTAATTTTTTTTTTTGAGATGGAGTCTTTCTCTGTCACTAGACTGCAGTGCAGTGGTGCAATCTCAGCTCACTGCAACCTCTGCCTTCCAGGTTCAAGCAATTCTCCTGCCTCAGCCTCCAGAGCAGCTGGGACTACAGGCGTGCACCACCACGCCTGGCTACCTTTTGTATTTTTAGTAGAAATGAGGTTTCACCATGTTGACCAGGATGGTCTTGATCTCTCAACTTTGTGATCCACTCACCTCAGCCTCCCAAGGTGCTGTGATTACAAGTGTGAGCCACCACATCCGGCCCAAAACCTACATTTTAAACTAAAAGTTGGAACCACTTGGATGCTCTTATAGTATAACACCTTACAGTTGTGTTGCCATATCTGTCTCTGTTATTAAACTGTGTTTATATAGGACCATATGCTTTCTTCAATCATGGCAATGAATTCACTATGCCATGATAATATGAATTATAAAGTCACTAAAGAAAATATGAATACTATTTGTCTTTATACGTCCAACAGATTTTATACCTGCCTAAGGGTTTGCTTGTGTGTTTGTTTGTTATTGAAATGGAATCTTTCTCTGTTGCCTCTGTTGCCCAGGCTGGAGTGCAGTGGTGCGATCTTGGCTCATTGCAACCTCCAAGTCCTGTGTTCAAATGATTCTTCTGCCTCAGCCTCCTGAGTAGCTGGGACTACAGATGTGCTCCACCATGCCTGGCTAATTTTTGTATTTTTAGTATAGATGAGGTTTCTCCATGTTGGCCAGGCTGGTCTTGAATTCCTGACCTCAGGTGATCCACCCATCTCAGCTTCCCAAAGTGCTAGGATTACAAGTGTGAGCCACTACACCTGACCAGGGTTTTTCTTTAATTAAAGAATATGTAAACATGTATAAGGACATAAAGAAATGTTGAATCAGCATTATATGACTTGAAAACCTGGCAATTTGGACAAGGTTTTGAAACTACTCTCAAAATATATAACATAATCCAAAAACAGAAGAATTTTCATAACCAAAATGTTCCCTAGAACTTGAGTCATATTGCCAGAAATATCTCAATTTTTTCTCAATAGCTCAATGTCTCAATGTTCTCTTAAATGTTCCCTTTTCCCTGTACTCTAATAAATCAAGTTATTTTCATATTTTTCTCCCAATCCCTCCTGGTCCCTGACCTTAACTCTGGCTTCCTGACAAGTTCTAAACCCTAGGAATAGAATTGGTAATAAGTATTAATCATACCCACTGTGATGTTCCATAGGAATACACAAATTCTTATCATCAGAATAAAACCTAGAAAGGATAATTTAATCTCTATTTTCTAAAAGCTTTCAACTATTAGAAGAAATAAAGACATACCTAGTTGACTGCAAACTAAGTTATCACCCCAAGGTTCGGAAATTCAGAGGTCTTATGGAAATTAGGAATCTCAAGATATTCTTTTCATCAGGTAAACAATGGACTAAAATAGGTGCCCCACCAAATACTGCTAAAAAGCATCTTGACACATTAGTGAAAGTAGTTCTAATATATAGTTAGACTATCATCACTTTTGTTCCAATAAATATTCCATAGGATAGCATATTCCCTAGTCTACATTCTGCTCTTCAAACTTCCCTAAAATAGAATTTCACTTTTACCAAAATCACCATTAAAAGGTGGTATGGATTGAGAGAGACCCTAGAAATGTGAAGTGCCAGGGAGACAAAAAAAAGACATTTTGTTCTGCAGTATTGTTATGTAAATATTTCAAATAAAACATTTCCGATAAAACTTGCATAATTTTGACTAATTGGTTTCTCAGTTTGCACATTTTTCCACTATTGTCTCTGATATGTGAGTAAGAACATCGAATCTTCTAGTTTCTATTTAGCTAGCTAGGGATAATCATATATTTGGACCAAATATTTCAGAGCAAAGAAAAAACAAAACACATACCAAAGCTTTGTCCACTACAATATGCATTTCCAGAAAAAGAGGAAATAAATCTGGAACCACTGGTTCTGACTAGAAAAAAAGAAAAACAGCATATAATACATGAAAATTTTCATAATTTGTTTACTTGAACTCTTCATTAAAGCTATTACTACAGCACTTACAAGATATGCAGAGGTTTGCTTTATTAAATTGGTTAAAAATCAATGAATAAAGCTTTAAGTTTTATGGCAATGTACTCAAGTAGTAAGAAGATTGCCCATGAAGTTATGACATCTTTCTCAATGTACCTGCAATTCACAATTTATGAACTAAGAAAAAACACTAGTATTTCCATCTATTTCATCTGCATGTAAGAAATAAACTTTGCTTTAAAAATTATGTGTTGATTTTTCCAATGTTTTCATTTTTCACTCTTTTCTGTATTCATGTCCTTTGCAATAAGACTTTGTAGTACCTCTCATCTACAGAGAGTGAAGAGGTGAGTTTATTTCTCCTCTCTCTCAATCTGGGCTGAGCCTTGTAACTTGCTTGAGCCAATAAAGACAATAGAAGTGCTGTTTTGCCAGCCTCAAGTCTAAGTCACCTTTCATGCTTCCATTCCTGATCTTGGAATCCCTACCTGTACACATCTGGCCAGACTTCCAGATGAAAAGAGGAAATGGCTTATTCATGCCATCACCCCAGAAAAAACATTAAAAAAACAGGATAATGTTTGAGGAGAGGGGTAAAAAGCTGCTGAGTTTCCATAAGAGAGTACTGTAGTGCTTGAACTTACCCACCTACCATCACATCCCACACATCCAGCTCACTGGCATCCATGAAGATAGAGGCCCATGTTCCTGGTGTGGCTTTCCCATGCCAGAGGAAGAAATACCAAATTTGTTCTCAAAGAATTATGGTTATGTGTTTTGAGTGGTTCCCTAAATGTTTTGCTCAAGAGTTTCCCTTTGTTTCCTCCACCATGAAATTTCACAGGGTTGGAGTGGACTCCAAGGCAGTATTATAAAAAGCATTTCAAGGCAAATACACTGGCCAGAGCCACCTGGAGCAATAAAAACAGATGAGGAAAGCAGCAGACACACTAAAAAGCCTAGGAAGAAAGAGGCTGGGGAAGGAAACAGGTGCAGAAATGAAGGCTTTGAAAACCTCAAGTATATACTGGGAAATCTAGAGGGCTACCCACATGCCCAAGGCTGGACACATGCTCAGAAAACACTTGAGGAGACACTAAGCTTTCTCCTCTGCCTGGCTTTTAGACATTGTGCAAGCAAGAGTCAAGGCCAAGGTTTAGTTGACAACATCTGGAATAAGTGGTGTAGATATACCCAAACCCAGAGTCAATCTGTAAAAATCAAGAAAGTCTTTTTTTTTTTTTTTTGGCTTCAGCAATTTAAAGAAATCTCTCTCACATCACTAGGTGACTACTAAACAATATTGTTTACAAAATATTTCTTTACTTTATAAAAGTCAGTAAACAAGCAAACAAACAACTACAACCCACAACAAGCAGTAACAACGAACCTTGCTAGGGAGTGAGAAAGAATCTGATTTCCAGCATCATCACATCAAAATACTCAAAATGTTCAGATTTCAGAAACAAAAAGAAAGTAACATGGCCCATTTTCAGAAAAAAAAAAATAGAAATAGTCCCTCTGGAAGCCCAGACATTGTGCTTACTAGACAAAGACTGTAAATTAATTCTTCTAAAATATGTTCAAAAAGCTATGGAAAACTATGCAAAAAGAACTAAAGGAAACCAGAAGAATGATGCTTCACCCAATAGAGAGTATCCATAAAAATATAGAAATTATAAAAAGGAAATTATGGAGCGGAAAAGTAAAGTAAATAAAAATTTACTAGGATTCAAGAACATAGTTGAGCAAGCAGAAAAAAGAATCAGCAAACTTCAAAACAAATCAATCAAGATTATTCAATCTGAGGAGCACAATAAAAAAAGAATGAAGCTCATGCAGGCTCTGATGACATGTCTCGCAGGAAGTCCTTCAATCCCAGACGTGGGTCCCTAGACTTCCTGCCTTGGAAACACAGGAGTAGGCATTATGGCAAGGTGAAGAACTTCCCCAAGGATGACCCTAATAAGTTGGTCCACTTCACAGCCTTCCTGAGATACAAGGCTGGCATGACACATCATGTAGGAAGCTGGCCAGCTAGGAACAAGGTGAACAAGAAGAAAGTGGTGGAGACTGTGACCATTGTGGAAACACTGCCCATGGTGGTTGTAGGCACTGTGGGCTATATGGAACCTCTCAAGGCCTCTGAGTTTTCAAGATCATCTTTGCTGAGCGCATTAGCAGTGAGTACAAAAGGCGCTTCTGTAGAAACTGGTGTAAAGCTAAGTAGAAGGCCTTTTCCAAGTACTACAAGAAATGGCAGGGTGAGGATGATGAGAAGTAGCTGCAGAAAGACTTTGACAGCATGAAAAAGTACTGCCAAGTCATCCTCACCAATTTCCATACCCAGAAGCACCTGCTTCCTCTATGTCAGAGGAAGGCCCACCTGATGGAGATCCAGGTGAACAGAGGCACTTTGGCCAAGAAACTGGACTTGTCCCTGGAGAAACTAGAACACCAGGTACCTGTAAACTAAATGTCTGCGCAGGACAAAATGATTGTCATCAAATGGGTGACCAAGGGCAAAGGCTACAAAGAGGTCACCAGTCATTGGCATGCTAAAAAGCTGCACTACAAGACCCACTGAAGTTGTGCAAGGTTGCCTATTTTGGGGCATGGCATCCTGCCTCTATGGCATTCTCTGTGGCACACACTGGGCAGAAATGCTACAACCACTGCACTGAGATCAAGAAGAAGATCTATAAGATCAGTCAGGGCTACCTAATCAAGGATGGCAAATTGATTAATGCCTCCAATAACTATGACCTGTCTGACAAGAGCATCAACCCCCTGGGTGGCTTTATCCACTACAGTGAAGTAACCAATGACTGTGTCATCAGAAGGGCTGTGTGGTGGGAACCAAAAAGCAAGTGCTCACCCTCCACAATTCTTAGTGCAGACCAAGCAGTGGGCACTGGAAAAGACTGACCTTAAGTTCATTGAAACTACCTTTAAATTCAGCCATGGCCACTTCCAAACCATGAAGAAGAGGCATTCATGGGACCACTCAAGAAAGACCAGATTGCAAAGGAAGGACTTAATACCAGGAACAGATAGTACAGCTGGCAGGATCTCAATAAAAGTTATTTGATGCTGAAAAAAAAAGAGTGAAGATAAATGAACAGAGCCTAAGAGACCTGTGGGAGATCATCAAGCACATATATAAGAAAAGTTCCAAGCAGAAAAGAAGAAAGGGGCAAAAAGAAAAATTGAAATAGTAATGGGTGAAAACTTTCCAAATTTGATGAAATACATGAATCTACACATCCAAGAAGTTTTAAAAACTTCAAGTATAATAAACTCAAAGGAATTCACACAAACTCACATTATAAGTAAATTGTCCAAAGTTAATCAAAAAAAGAAAGTCTTGAAAACAGCAAGAGAAAAGCAATTCCTCACAAATGAGAGATCTTCAATAATATTAACATCTAATTTCTCATTAGAAACGAGGGAGGCCAGAGGCAGTGGGATGACATTTAAAGCACTGGAGGAGAAAAAAAGAATTCTGTATCTGACAAAGCTATCCTTCAAAAATGAAGGAGAAATAGGATGTGCCCAGAAAAATAAAAACTGAAAAAGCTCACTGCTAATTGACCTGCCTGCTTATTACAGCCTGAATGGTATCCCAGTAAAATTCATATGTTAAATATCTAACCCCAGTATGTCACAGAATGAGACTGTATTTGGAGACAGGGCCTTTAAAGAGGTAAATAGATTGAAAATTAGGTCATTAGGATGGGCTCTGATGCAATGTAACTGGTATCTTCATAAGAGAAAATTAGAAAACAAACACAGAAGGAAGACCTTGTGCAGACACAGGGAAAGGATGGTTACCTATATGCCAAGCATAGGGGCCTCAAAAGAAACCAACTTACTAACACTTTGATCTCAAACTTCTAGGCTCCAGAATTGGGGGGACAAATGTGTTCTTGTTATTTAAGCTACCCAGTCCAATGGTAAATTGTTATGGCAGCTATAGCAAACTAATAAACTGCACTACAAGAAATGCCAAAGGTAGTCCTTCAGTTCAAAATGAAAGCACACAAAACAGTAACAAGAAGCAATAAAAGAAATTACACAGTAGAAGTAAATACATTGGTAACTATAGAAGGTATTATTATTGCTGAGTACAGCAGCTCACACTTATGCTCCTGGCACTCTGGAAGGCCAAGATGGGAGGACTGCTTTGAGTTTGAGTCTAGCCTGGGCAGGAGTTTGAGTCTAGCCTGGGCAACATAGGGTGACCCAGTCTCTATAAATCATAAAACAAATTAGCTGAGCATGGTGGCACATGCCTGTGGTCCCAGCTAATTGGGAGGCAGAGGCAGGAGGATCACCTGTGCTTAGGAGCTAAAGAATGCAGTAAGCCATGATCACAGCATCAGCACCTCACTTCAGCCTGGATGACAGAGTGAGACCCTGCCTCAAACAAAAAAAAAAGAAAAAGAAGATATTATTATTATATTTTTGGTTATTCCTCACTTTTTCCCAAAGTATTTAAAAGAAAATATATCAAACAATAATTATTAAGCTATTGTATTACAATTGCTTGTATGTATGATTAATATAGCTTAATGTACTAGATAATTTGTAATAATAAAAATGTAAAGAAGGCAAAGTTGTATAGAAGCAGAGTTTTTGTATACTATAGAGGCTAAGTTGGTATTAATTCAAACTATGATTGTTATAAATTTAAGATGTTAATTGTAATATTCAGAGTAACCACTAAGAAAATAACTAAAATACGTAAAGAAAAATAAATGAGAAGGGAATCAAAATGATATACTAGAAAAAAATCAACTAAACAAAAGAAGGGAGTAATAGAGAAACAGAGATCAAAAAAAGGTGTAAGACATATAGAAAACAATTAGCAAATGTCAAATTAAGTGTTAATTGAGCCCAGGAGGCAGAGGTTGCCATGAGTCAAGATCACCACATTGTACTCCAGCCTGGGTGACAGAATGAGACCCTGTCTTAAAAGATAAATAGATAAATAAATACACAAATAAAATTATTTTAAATGTAAATATATTAAACTCTAAAAGACAAAGATTGTGCTGGGCCAATGGCTTACACCTATGATTTCAGCACTTTGGGAGGCCAAGTTGGGAGGATTGTTGAGCCCAGGAGTTCAAGACCACCTTAGGCAATATGAAAAAAAAACTGTGTCTACAAAAAATATAAAAATTAGCCAGGCACAGTGCTGTGTGCCTGTAGTTCCAACTACATAGGAGGCTGAGGTGGGAGGATGACTTCCAGGAAGTGAAGCTGCAGTGAACTGTGATTGTACCACTACACTCCAGCCTAGGTGACAGAGCAAGACCCTGTCTCAAAAAAAAAGTGGGGGGGGGGTTTAAAAGATGAGATTCAACTATATACTGTCTACAAGTACTTAGGTACAAAGACACAAATAGGCTGAAAGTAAAAGAATGAAAGCCGTATGTATTCCACGTAAATAGCAACCAAAAGACAACTGAGATGGCTATGCTAATACCAGAAAAAAGTAGACATTAAATCAAATAATTTTTATAAGAGACATAGAACATTATACATTAATGATCATGAGGTCAAGAGATCGAGACCAGACTGGACAACATGGTGAAACCCCTTCTCTACTAAATATACAAAAATTAGCCAGGCATACTGATAGGTGCCTGTAGACCCAGCTAATTGGGAGGCTGAGGCAGGAGAATTTTTTGAACCCAGGAGGAAGAGGTTGAAGTAAACCAATATGACACCACTGCACTCCAGGCTAGGTTACAGAGTGAGAACCTCTCTCAAAAAAAAAAAAAAAAAAAGGAAAAAGAAAGTATTCTGCACCATAACCAGGTGGGATTTATCCCATGAATGCAAGAGTGATTCAACACACAACACTCAATCAAGGTAATACATCACATGAAGAAAATGTAAGGGGGAAAGCATGGAACCATCTCAATCAAGAAAAAGCATCTGGGGAGTGATCCAAGATAGCCAAATAGGAACAGCTCTGGAGTGTGGTTCTCAGTGAGAACAATGCAGAGCGTAAGTGATCACCACATTTCCAAACAAGTTATTACTGCCCACAGACCAGGAGATTCCCAGGCTAAAAAGTGCCACCAGTTTCTAGCACGGCTGTTTCAGCCAGCGCAGTGGGTCTCTGCACAAAACCTCACACAAATCTGGGCAGCCGTTTCAACTGGCCCCTGGAATGCCTGGGAGACAGAGCCGCCCATTCAACTGAAAAAAGGGGGGCTGAAATAGGGAGCCAGGTGATCTGGCTCGGCAGATCCCACCCCCACAAAGACCAGCAATGTGAAATGCTCTGGATTGAGAGTTCTGCAGCAAGGGCAGCTGGACCTAGGACGGTCCAGCTCTGTGGGGGGAAGGGCGTCCACCATTACTGAGGCAGTCTACCACTACCAAGGCAGTCTGCTATTACCAAAGCAGTCTGCCATTACTGAGGAAAACTAACACTACCGAGGCAGTTCTAACTACACCTTTGTAAACAAAATCAGATGATCCACCCACCTTGGCCTTCCAAAGTGCTGGAATTACAGGCGTGAGCCACCATGCCTTGCCTGGTATTTTTTTCTTTACTGACAGAAGACAGGGAGAACATATACTGGGAACAACAAATACTGCCACGCACTCTTATATAAACTATGCATACTTATGCCAATAGTAGTAGGCATCAAAATTTTCTATTTCACAATTGCTTGTGTAAGCACCAACACATGCAGTTACATAGTATGTTCACTGAACAATTTACATGACGATAACTGGCAATTCTGCTTACGACATTTTAATTATATCTACGATTTAATTAATGCTGACTCATTGGTCATGAATATAACCTTTAAAAATATTGACTTTATTGAATAACTTCCAGGAATGTAGGAGCAGAAGCAAGGACTGAGTTTTTAAAGTTTATATTACATATACATGAGGGAATTTTTGGAAAGTACTAAGAATGTAACAAACACAATAGGAACTAAAATAAAATGGATCATAAAAAGTAAATGATATATTGGTACAATGAGAAAAAGGTGATATACAGTTTCAAGGAAATTGTTAGGTAATGAAAAGATGAATAGTCAGGCATGGTGGCTCACGCCTGTAATCTCAACATTTTGGGAGCATGAGCAGGTGGATCGTTTGAGGCTAGGAGTTCAAGACCAGCATGGTAACATGGTGATACCTTGTCTCTACAAAAAATTAGTCTGGTGTGGTGATGTATGTCTTTGGTTCCAGCTACTCAGGAGGCTGAGGTGGGAGGATTGCTTGAGCCCAGAAGGCAGAGGCTGCAGTGAGCCTTGATCAGGCCACTGCGCTCTAACCTGAATGACAGAGTGAGAAAAAAAAAAAAAGATAAGGATGTTCACAAGGAACGGATACTTGCTACAATTGTACAATGGGCTCATAAATTTATTTTTAAAATAAATTAAATGGAAGTAATAACTGCTTTAAAATAATAATAAAACACACAACTTACTTTATCACTTATAAAAATGTTGTCATCCATTGGCTGTTCTTCCAGGCTTCTGCTATATTCACTGAAAATTGTAAAGTCATTGTCTTCATTCTTTAATTCATAAAGAACATGCTGAAATTCAACTGCAGATTCCAGAGGCTCAATTCCATAAGAAACATTTTCAAATTGCAGTATTCCTCTGTGAAATTATGAATACAATTTTAAGTGCTTATAATCAAAATCTATATAATGAATTTCTAACAAAATCCAAAAGAAAAAAGATACAAAACATTTTAAGTCCAGTATTTTGATCTGAATTCTGTCTTAGAGATGACTCTGAAGAGACAAAAGATTTCCCTAATCCACAAAACAAATTTTATATTTCATTTCTGTGTAGTTGTAACAGGAGCAAAAGTTACTTAATCAATTGCTAGGTATACAAGCATATACCTTGACAGTCATTGAGTCATTCTGTTGTTTTCCAAGTCAGTGTCTCAATGAAAACAATTGTAAACAGAAATCTTGATGACTTTCTCTCTTGTTTGCAATGCTTTTGAAAAATTATTATACTGCATATACAACAAACATATATATATAATGAGAAACTTTACTTTAAAAAATAAAATTTGGCCAAATTATGAAATTTATTAATTTTGCTTATATAGTCTGAATAAGAACTTAAAAGCAAGATTTTAAAGAGCAAATGACTTGTATGACTATTTTTGTCTGAATACAGTTAACAGCCCAAGTCACTACTCCCTAAAAGACAAATTTCAGATCCAAATTTCAGGCTTCTATGTAAGAAGCACTGAAAAAGAATATTTGTATGGGAAAGCAAGCATTCTACACTACAAAATGAAGGTGGAGAATTTCCTGACAGAATGGAAAACTCTCTAAGCCATAAGGAGGAAACCCAATAACTCCTGAAGAGCTCAAGATAATAATATCATTTTTAAAATGACTATTTTTATGAGTACTAAAAATTATTTGTTTATATATAATTTGCCTCCTCAGTGTGAAGATGATTTCCTTGAGAAAAAGCATCTCTTGTTTATCTTTATATCTCCAGCACTAAAACACATGGTAGGTAACATAAATATATTTTCAGTCCAGTATTTTGACCCAAAATACTAAGCGTAGTATTTTGTCTTAGAGATGACTCTGAAGAGACAAAAGATTACACTAATCTACAAAAACCAATGTTCCACTTCACTTTTTTATAGTTATAAAAGCAACAGAAATTACCTAATCAATTGCTAAGTGTGCAAGCATATGGCATTACAGTGATCCAGACATTTCCCTGTTTTCTGAGATAGTGACTGAACTGTCCTAAACTTAGCTCCTCCAACCCTTGTAGTCAAACATGTTCAATTGTCTTTTCTGTAGTCAAGGAAACATAAGGCATAGAGCAAGGAGACGAGGAAATCTAAACCTTTGGAAAGGTTAGAAATGTCTCTGGTAAGAGAGGAAAGTGGGGAGAAACAAGAGAATTGGAAATATGTTCAGAGGGGACTATCATTAAATAATCTCCACATAGGAATCCTCCTTCAGCCCCACACTTAATATAAAGAGAACAAATTCCCTGCAGCCAAATATCATAAGTACAGTGTTCTGTAATCAACAGTAGAAAGCAACCTCAGTCCAGAGCATGTGCTGACTGTGACCATGGACTCTGGATAGCCTTCAATATTTCCTTGGTAGTAGCATTGAGTCTAGAAAAGAAAAAAAGTATAGTTATTTAGGAAGTGACAAAACTTTCTAATAATTTCCTACTTCTATGAGATTACTATTTGACACCCTGCTCCCAAAGTGTTGTCTTATGTTTTAGGTAAAAATGTCTTCCAGTATATAAATTTAGGTCCTCAATTAAAAGACAAAGATGGTGAATCTGGATTTCTTTAAAAACCGAATTAATATGCTGCTAAAAAACAAGAGTCATAAAAATATAATGACACAGGAAGATTGAAGGTCAGATGCCAACACAACCAAAAGGATGATTCTGAATTTCCATTAAGAGAGGAAATGTGGGTCGGGTGCAGTGTCTCACACCTGTAATCCAAGCATGTTGGGAGGCCAAGGCAGGTGGATCACAAGGTCAGGAGATGGAGACCATCCTGTCCATCATGGTGAAATCCAGCCTCTACTAAAATACAAAAAATTGGCTGGGCATGGTGGCGCACACCTGTAGTCCCAGCTACTCAGGAGGCTGAGGCAGGGGAATCACTTGAACCCTGGAGGCTGAGATTGCAATGAGCCGAGACTGTGTCACTGCACTCCAGCCTGGTGACAGAGCAAGATTCTGTCTCAAAAAAAAAAAAGAGGGAGAGAGAGAGAGAGAGAGAGAGGAGGGAAATGTGAACTTTAAGGCAAGAAGCATTACTAGAGATAAACAGGGACATTTCATTTCATAATAATAAGCATTTCAATTTACCGGGAAGACACAAATATTCCAAATTGGCATTTACTTAATAACATAGCTTCAAAATATATAAAGTCAAAATTGAAAGAATAGTAAAAATGTAAAAAATCTACAGTTAAAAAAAAGTTCTTTAAAGTTCATTTCTCTCAGTAACTGATAGATCAAGTGTTCAGAATCTATAGAAGGTTTGAACAATGTGATTAGTATGGCCTAGTTAATATATGCAGAATACTATACCTAAAAACTTTAGAATATATGCTTTCTAAACACACATGGAACAACTACAATACAGAAACCATACTCCAGGCCATAAAGCAATCTGTTGACTACAAAGAAATTAAATTGTACAGAGTTGGTCTCTGAGCACAGTACAATCAAGCTAGAGATACAGAGTCACAAACATTGTTACATATGTGAATATTATATAATTTCCAATATTCAATGGTGCTATAAATTTTATTATAAATAAATATAAGATTTCTTATAAGCACACTGCTTTATGATGGAACTAAGGGAAGGAAAAGGGAGCAATAAAGCAAAATGATAATCCCATCCAATATAAGTGAAGCAATGTGATATCTAATTTAATATTTCAACACATTTTTATTATATGTCAAGTGTGTGCCAGGCACTTTTCTAGGCACTGGTGTTATATCAGTGAATAAAACAGCCCAAAATCCCTGCCCTCGGGATGATTATATTGCACTGGGAAGACAGAAAATAAAGTAAACAAATAAAATATATGGTACATCATGTATCAATAACTGCCATGGGAAAAAGGCAAAACAAGTAAAGGAAATAGAGAGAGTATTAAGAGTAAAAGATCAATTTAAAGTAGGGGTTAGTCAAGGACTAATAGGGGATTTTGAGTAAAGACCTGAAGGAAAAGAAGATGAAAAAACATATGGGTCTCCTGGAAAAGACCAAGCATTTGGATACCAGGAAATAGTATGAAGTCTTTGAAAGGAGAACTTAGCTGGCACATTTGAAGAACAAGGCTGGAACAAAGAGAACAAGGTAGAGAATAACAGGAAACAAGGTCAGAGTAAAAGGGAACCAGGTGACTTTGGCTTTCACCCTGTGAATGGCTGGAGGCCATCTCTTGAGGGTCCTGAGCAGAGAAGCAAGGTGATCTGACTACATCTTAACAGGATCAATATGGTTGCCATGTTGAGAACTGACTGAGGCCAGGCATGGTGGCTCACGCCTGTAATCCTAGCATTTTGGGAGGCTGAGGCAGGCAAATCACCTGAGATCAGGGGTTCAAGACCAGCCTGGCCAACATGGCAAAACCCCATCTCTACTTAAAATACAAAAATTAGTTGGGCGTGGTGGTGCATGCCTGTAATCCCAGCTATTCAGGAGGCTGAAGCAGGAGAATCGAACCCAGGAGGCAGAAGTTGCAGTGAGCCAAGATTGCACCATTGCACTCCAGCCTGGGCAACAGAGACTCTGTCTCAAAAATAAATAAATAAAATAAACAAAACTGACTGAAGGGATGGACAAGGTAAGGAAGCAGGGAGATTATTCATGAAGTTATGGCAATAATCCAAACTAGAGAAGATGTTTACTTGGAAATGGGAAATTTCAGTTAATGGAGGCAGAGGAAAAAGGTGCATGCTGGACACTTAGTTTAAAGGGCAGGGTCAATAGGATTCATGGATGTATAAATGATGGATGAGATGAGGAGGAGTTAAGAAAAAAAGAAAGAAATTTTGATCTGTGATTTGTGTCCCATAACATTTGTGTCCACTTTTCTTGTTATTTAATTTATATTCTTACAAATATAAGTAACAAATAAATATTTTTATTTAACAAAACATAAATAAATTTAAAAATAGTGCCCATATTCTCAGGAATGCAAAAGGTCCTAAGTCAATCTAATTTGTCTTTACCAAAACTTCAGGAAAGCCTGATCATCAATCAGTAAATGTCTTAAAATACATCCCTTATGAATCCTGAGAGCCTTCTGTATTAATAAAGCATTTATTTATTTTTTTATTGCATTTTAGGTTTTGGGGTACATGTGCAGAACATGCAAGATAGTTGCATAGGTACACACATGGCAGTGTGATTTGCTGCCTTCCTCCCCTTCACCCACATCTGGCATTTCTCCCCATGCTATCCCTCCCCAGCTCCCGCCCCTGCTGTCCCTCCCCTATTCCCCTCAATAGACCCCAGTGTGTAGTGTTCCCCTCCCTGTGTCCATGTGTTCTCATTGTTCATCACCCACCTATGAGTGAGAACATGCGGTATCTCATTTTCTGTTCTTGTGTCAGTTTGCTGAGAATGATGTTCTCCAGATTCATCCATGTCCCTACAAAGGACATGAACTCATCGTTTTTGATGGCTGCATAATATTCCATGGTGTATATGTGCCACATTTTCCCAATCCAGTCTATCATCGAAGGGCATCTGGGTTGGTTCCAGGTCTTTGCTATTGTAAACAGTGCTGCAATGAACATTCGTGTGCATGTGTCCTTATAGTAAAACGATTTATAGTCCTTTGGATATATACCCAGTAATGGGATTGCTGGGTCAAATGGAATTTCTATTTCTAGGTCCTTGAGGAATTGCCACACTGTCTTCCACAATGGTTGAACTAATTTACACTCCCACCAGCAGTGTAAAAGTGTTCCTATTTCTCCACATCCTCTCCAGCATCTGTTGTCTCCAGATTTTTTAATGATTACCATTCTAAGATAATTTAATGGTGTCTCAATGTAGTTTTGATTTGCATTTCTCTAATGACCAGTGATGATGAGCATTTTTTCATATGTTTGTTGGCCTCATGTATGTCTTCTTTTGTAAAGTGCCTGTTCATATCATTTGCCCATTTTTGAATGGGCTTGTTTTTTTTTTGTAAATCTGTTTTAGTTCTTTGTAAATTCTGGATATCAGCCCTTTGTCAGATGAGTAAACTGCAAAATTTGTTTCCCATTCTGTTGGTTGCCGATTCACTCTAGTGACTGTTTCTTTTGCCGTGCAGAAGCTGTGGAGTTTGATTAGGTCCCATTTGTCTATTTTGGCTTTTGTTGCCAATGCTTTTGGTGTTTTGGTCATGAAGTCCTTGCCTACTCCTATGCCCTGAATGATTTTGCCTAGATTTTCTTCTAGGGATTTTATGGTGCCAGGTCTTATGTTTAAGTCTTTAATCCATCTGGAGTTAATTTTAGTGTAAGGTGTCAGAAAGGGGTCCAGTTTCTGCTTTCTGCACATGGCTAGCCAGTTTTCCCAACACCATTTACTAAACAGGGAATCCTTTCCCCATTGCTTGTTTTTGTCAGGTTGATCAAAGATTGTATGGTGGTAGATATGTTGTGTTGCCTCCAATTCCTCTGTTCTGTTCCATTGGTCTATATCTCTGTTTTGGTACCAGTACCATGTTGTTTTGATTACTGTAGCCTTGTAGTATAGTTTGAAGTCCAGTAGTGTGATGCTTCCTGCTGTGTTCTTTTTGCTTAGAATTGACTTGGCTATGCGGGCTCTCTTTTGGTTCCATATGAAGTTTAAGGTAGTTTTTTCCAGTTCTGTGAAGAAGGTCATTGGTAGCTTGATGGGGATAGCATTGAGTCTGTAAATTACTTTGATAGACTTAGTGTAAGGTGTCAGAAAGGGGTCCAGTTTCTGCTTTCTGATTTTGATTTTCATGATATTGATTCTTCCTAACCATGAACATGGAATGTTTCTCCATCTGTTTGTGTCCTCTCTTATTTCGTTGAGCAGTGGTTTGTGGTTCTCCTTGAAGAAGTCCTTTACATTCCTTGTTAGTTGTATTCTTAGGTATTTTATTCTCTTTGTAGCAATTGCAGTTCATTCTTGATTTGGCTCTCTTTCAGTCTGTCATTGGCGTATAGGAATGCTTGTGATTTTTGCACATTGATTTTGTATCCTGAGATTTTGCTGAAGTTGCCTACCAGTTTCAGGAGTTTTTGGGCTGACACAATGGGGTCTTCTAGATATACTACCATGTTGTCTGCAAATACAGACATTTTGGCTTCCTCCTTTCCTATTTGAATACCTTTTATTTCTTTTTCTTGCCTGATTGCTTTGGCTAGAACTTCCAGTACTATATTGAATAGGAGTGGTGAGAGACGGCATCCTTGTCTAGTGCCAGATTTCAAAGGGATTGCTTTTAGTTTTTGCCCATTCAGTATGATATTGGCTGTTGGTTTGTCATAAATAGCTTTTATTATTTTGTGATATGTTCCATCAATACCGAGTTTATAGAGGGTTTTTAGCATAAAGGGCTGTTGAATTTTGTCAAAGGCCTTCTCTGCGTCAGTTGAGATAATCATGTGGTTTTTGTTTTTGGTTCTGTTTATGTGGTGAATTACATTTATACACTTGCGTATGTTGAACCAGCCTTGCATCCCTGGGATGAATTCTACATGATCATGGTGGATAAGCTTTTCGATGTGTTGTTCCAATCGGCTTGCCAGTATTTTATTGAAGATTTTTGTGTCTATGTTCATCATGGATATCACTGCTGAGTTTTGGTATCAGGATAATGTTGGGCTCATAAAATGATTTGGGAAGGATTCTGTCTTTTTGGATTATTTGGAATAGTTTCAGAAGGAATGGTAACTGTTCCTCTTTGTGTGTCTGGTAGAATTCGGCTGTGAACGCATCTGGACCTGGGTTTTTATTGTGTGGTAGGCTCTTAATTGCTGCCTCGACTTCAGATCTTGTTATTGGTCTATTCATAGTTTTGGCTTCCTCCTGGTTTAGGCTTGGGAGGACACAAGTGTCCAGGAATTTATCCATTTCTTCCAGGTTTACTACTTTATGTTTATAGAGTTGTTTATAATAATCTATGATGATGGTTTGAATTTCTGTGGAATCTGTGGTGATTTCCTCTTTATCGGTTTTTATTGCATCTATTTGGTTATTCTCTCTTTTCTTTTTTATCAGTCTGGCTGGCTATTTTGTTCATCTTTTCAAAAAACCAGCTCTTGGATTTATTGATTTTTTGAAGGGGTTTTCGTGTCTCTATCTCCTTCAGTTCTGCTCTCATCTTAGTTATTTCTTGTCTTCTGCTAGGTTTTGAGTTTTTTTGATCTTGCTCCTCTAGCTCTTTCAATTTTGATGATAGGGTGTCAATTTTGGATCTCTCCACTCTTCTCATGTGGGCACTTATTGCTATATATTTTCCTCTAGAGACTGCTTTAAATGATCCCAGAGATTCTGGTATGTTGTGTCTTCGTTCTCGTTGGTTTCGAAGAACTTCCTTATTTCTGCCTTCATTTCATTGTTTATCCAGTCAACATTCAAAAGCCAGTTTTTCAGTTTCCATGAAGCTGTGCGGTTCTGAGTTGGTTTCTGAATTCTGAGTTCTAACTTGAATGCACTATGGTCTGAGAGACTGTTTGTTATTATTTCAGTTGTTTTGCATTTGCTGAGGAGTGATTTATTTCCAATTATGTGGTCAATTTTAGAGTAGGTGTGATGTGGTGCTGAGAAGAATGTATATTCTGTGGATTTGGGGTGGAGAGTTCTGTAAATGTCTATCAGGTTTGCTTGCTCCAGGTCTGAGTTCAAGCCCTGGATATCCTTGTTGATTTTCTGTCCCGTTGATCTAATATTGACAGTGGAGTGTTAAAGTCTCCCACTATTATTGCATGGGAGTCTGTCTCTTTGTAAGTCATTAAGAACTTGCCTTATATATCTGGGTGCTCCTGTATTGGATCCATATACATTTAGGATCGTTAGCTCTTCTTGTTGTATCAATCCTTTTACCATTATATAATGTCCTTCTTTGTCCCTTTTGATCTTTGTTGCTTTAAAGTCTATTTTATCAGAGACGAGAATTGCAACCCCTGCTTTTTTTATTCTCTCCATTTGCGTGGTAAATCTTCCTCCATCCCTTTATTTTGAGCCTTTGTGTATCCTTGCATGTGAGATGGGTTTCCTGGATTCAGCACACTGATGGGTTTTGGATTTTTATCCAATTTGCCAGTCTCTGTCTTTTGATTGGTGCATTTAACCTATTTACATTTAGGGTTAATATTGTTATGTGTAAATTTGATACTGCCATTTTGATGCTAGCTGGCTGTTTTGCCTGTTAGTTGATGGAGATTCTTCCTTTTGTTGATGCTGTTTAGCATTTGGTATGCTTTTGGAATGGCTGCTACTGGTTGTTCCTTTCTATGTGTAGTGCCTCTTTTAGGAGCTCTTGTAAAGCAGACCTGGTGGTGACAAAATCTCTGAGTACTTGCTTGTTCGCAAAGGATTATATTTTTCCTTCACTTATGAAGCTCAGTTTGGCTGGATATGAAATTCTGGGTTGAAAGTTCTTTTCTTTAAGAATGTTGAATAATGGCCCCCACTCTCTTCTGGCTTGTAGGGTTTCTGCCGAGAGATCTGCTGTGAGTCTGATGGGCTTCCCTTTGTGGGTGACCCGACCTTTCTCTCTGGCTGCCCGTAGCATTTTCTCCTTCATTTCAACCCTGTTGAATCTGACGATTATGTGCTTTGGGGTTGCTCTTCTTGTGGAATATCTTTGTGGTGTTCTCTGTATTTCGTGGACTTGGATATTGGTCTGCCTTGCTAGGTTGGGGAAATTTTCCTGGATAATATCCTGAAGAGTATTTTCCAGCTTGGATTGATTCTCTTCGTCACATTCAGGTATACCTATCAAACGTAGATTATGTCTCTTCACATAGTCCCACATTTCTTGGATACTTTGTTCATTCCTTTTTGCACTTTTTTTCTCTAATCTTGCCTTCTCGTTTTATTTCATTGAGTTGATCTTCAACCTCTGATATCCTTTCTTCTGCTTGGTCAATTCAGCTGTTGAGACTTATGCATGCTTTGCGAAGTTTTCGTGTTGTGTTTTTCGGCTCCATCAATTCACTCATATTCCTAAGTTGTCCATTCTTGTTATCATTTCCTCAAATCATTTTTCAAGGTTCTTAGTTTCTTTGCATTGAGTTAGAACATGTTTTTTTAGCTCTTGGAAGTTTCTCATTACCCACCTTCTGAAGTCTGATTCTGTCATTTCATCACACTCATTCTCCAACCAGCTTTGTTCCCTTGCTGGTGAGCGGTTGTGGTCCCTTGTAGGAGGCGAGGTGTTCCAGTTTTGGGTGTTTTCCTCCTTTTTGCGCTGGTTTCTTCCCATCTTTGTGGATTTATCCATCTGTCATCTGAGTAGTTGCGGACTTTCCAGTTGGGTCTCTGAGTGGACATCCAGATTGTTGATGATGAAGTATTTCTGTTTCTTAGTTCTCCTTCTAACAGTCTAGCCCCTCTGCTGTAGGACTGCTGAGGTCCACTCCAGGCCCTGCTTTCCTGGGGAACACCTGTAGCAGCTGTGGAATAGTGAGGGGTGCTACCAGTTTCTTCTTCTGCTATCTTTGTCCCAGAATGGTGCCTGCCAAATGTCAGTCTGATCAGTCCTTTGTGAGGTGACTCTTTGGATATACAGGGGTCAGGGAGCTTCTTGAGGAGACAGTCTGTACTTTATAGGAGCTCAAGTGCTGAGCTGTGAGCTCCCTTGTTCATTCAGTGCTGCTAGGCAGGTACGTTTTAGTCTGCTGCAGCAGAACTCATAAAGCCCCTTTTTTTCCTCAGGTACTATGTCCCAGGGAGTTAGGGCTTTATTCATGAGTATCTGTTGCACTGTCCTGCCCAGCAAGGAGGCAGTCTAGTCACTGCCTGCTTGCAGAGGCTATGCTGAGCTGCTCTGGGCTCCGCCCTCTTGCTGTGGGCTCCGCCCCATTGTCATGGGCTCCGCCCTGCTGCCATGTGTAATTCCCTGTAGTCCTGTTTATATGGGTGTGGTTGGAACTGCTGGTGATGGTGACCCACCTCTGTAATGGCAGACTCTCTCTGTTATGGCAAGTTGCCTCAGCAACAGCGGGTTGCCTCAGCAATGGCAGGCTGTGTCAGCAATGGCAGAGTACCTCTGTAGGGTGGGGTGCCTCAGTAATGGCAGACACCACTCCCCCACCCAGCTGCACTGTCCTGGGTTCAGCTGTGCTTGCCATGAAACTCTCAACCCCAAACATTTCCAATTGCCATTTTCTTTGGTTTTGTGGGGCTTGGATCTGCCGAGCCTGATCACCTGGCTCCCTGCCTCAGAGCCCTTTTTTTTTATAAAGTTGAATGGTTGACTCTCTCCCAAGTGTTCCAGTCACCTGCTGAAAGGGCGCCAGGATCTGTGTGATTTCCTGTGTGGCAACCCACTGTACTGGCTGAAACAACATCGCTGCCTGGGACTCTCCTGGCCTGGCTTACTGTTTAAGTCTCATTTAATCAGATGAATTTGCTAATCTGCCTTCCCAAATCTCAAATTGCCAGTTTAACAGGGCAACGAGACCAGTGCATTTTGTACGGAGGGCTGCTGTGCTGTGGCACCGGCCAAAACAGCCTTGCTGGCCCAAACAGCTGCGCCAACCCAAACAGCTGGCAGCCCGTGGGGCTCCTACACCTGGGAATCTCCTGGTCTGTGGGCAATAAAGATCCATCTAAAAATGTAGCATCCACTCACCCTATGCACTTTCACTGAGGGCTGCAATCCTGAGTTGCTCCTATAGTGCCATCTTCTCCTCAGGAACTCTCAATAAAGCATTTATTTAATGTAAAAAATGATTTTTATTAAAAATCCATAAAATACAGAATTTAAATCTTACCTGAATATCTGAAGAATGAGCATTCATGGATCCTTGCTTATACAAATAAACCATAAAATTATCTGCTATAAAGTATCTGAATATAAAAAAGTGAGAAAATTTTTTTAATTATTCTATTTGAAACATATAAAAACACAGTAAACTTGACACTTTCAGCCAAAATCTGACCCACCCTCTGTTTTGTAAATAAAGGTTTACTGAAACATAACCATGCCCATTCACTCACATACCGTCATGGCTCTTTTCATCCTGTAAGACCAGACATTAAGTAGTTTGGACAAAGAACATATGGCCTTCAAAGTCTAAAACATTTACTATCTGAACCTTTACAGAAAATGTCTGTCAACCTGACATAAAGGTAGTATTTTCTTTTGACATATATTTAATGTTTACTTAGAGCAATATACATTTACTCAAAAGTTTTTCTACCTTAATTGAGCCCAATGTAAAAGACAGCTGGGTGCGGTGGCTCACACCTGTAATCCCAACACTTTGGAAGACTGAGACAGGTAGATCAACTGAGATCAGGAGTTTGAGACCAGCCTGGCCAACATGGTGAAACCCATCTCTACTAAAAATATAAATACTAGCCAGGTGTGGTGCCAGCACCTGTAATCCCAGCTACTCGGGAGGCTGAGGCAGGAAAATGAGAATCACTTGATGCACTGGAACCAAATCATTGTCTGTGTGCTAAAAAAATAAAAAAGAAAGAAAAGAAAAAGAAAAAGAAAGAGATTCACTTGAATCCAGGAGATGGAGGTTGCAATGAGCCAAGATCACGCCTCTTCACTTTAGCCTGGGTGTCAGAGTGAGACTCCATCTCAAAAGAAAAAAAAACTAATAGACATAAACTGGAAGTTGGATTGTAAGAGTTTTCTGTTCTTACATGCTAATGCTTTATTATTATGCACATATATTACTTTCATAATGAAGTGGAAGAGTATTGTATAAAGGTCTTACTCATCCGAGTATAAATGTCCAGTCTAAGTTCAACTTTGGTATTAATCCTTGCACTCATGATGCCATTTTAGTTAAGCTTCTTCACTTCATATTCACTCTGCAACCCAATAAGCCACCCACACTAGCTTCTGTTGGAAGGCCTCCATTGAAACTGATCTCACAAAACTTACTAATGACTTCCTGACTGTCCAGTCTAAAAGACAATTTTACATCAAGTAAAAATACTTGACGTGAGCAGCCAGGCAGGGTGGCTCACCCCTGTAATCCCAACGCTTAGGGAGGCCGAGGTGGTGGAATGCTTTGAGCTCAAAAGTTCAAGACCAGCCTGGGCAACAAGGTGAAACCTCGTCTCTATGAAAAACACAGAAATTAGCCAAGTGTGGTGGTGCACGCCTGTGGTCCCAGCTACTCAGGAGGCTAAGGTGAGAGGATCACTTGAGCCAGGAGTTCAAGGCTGCAGTGAGCTGAGATCGCAACACTGCTCTCCAGCCTAGGTCACATAGAGAGACCCTGTCTCAAAAATAAATAAATTATAAAAATAATTTTTAAATAAATTAATAAAATACTCTCAAGCACTTCATACTGTAGACCACATTCCCCTTCCTGAAATCATCTCTCTTCAGCACTAATGATACCACTTCCTCCTGGCTCTCCTGGATCTTATTCATTTCTGTGGTTTCATTTACTACTTTTATTAAAAGGCTGCTTTTATTATTATAGCTATGCAGTATATTTTGAAGTCAGATAGTGTGATGCCTCCAGCTTTGTTCTTTTTGTTCAGTATTACTTTGGCTGCTCAGAGCCTTTTGTGATTCCATAGCAATTTTTACTATTTCTGTGAAAAACATCATTTGAATTTTGGTTGGGATTGCATTAAATCCATGGATCATTTTGGACAGTATGGACATTTTAACAATATTAAGTCTTCCAGTCCATAATTCTTTCATTTATTTGTGTCTTCCTCAATTCCCTTCATCATGTTTTATAGCGCTTGGTGTACAGATCTTTCACCTCCTTGGTTAAACTTACTCCTAAATATTTTATTTTTTTTTTTAGCTATTGTACATGGGGTTGTTTTCTTGATTTCATTTTTTGGAAAATTTGTTATTAATGTATAGAAATGCTATGATTTTTATAAGTTGATTTTATATCCTCCAACTTCACTGAAATTGTCTATTGATTCTAACAAATTTTGGTGGTGTCCTTAGGGTCTTCTATATATAATCTATATATAACATTATGTCACTTGCAAACAGGAACACTTTAATGTCTCCCTTTCCCATTAGGATGCCTTTTATTTCTTTTTCTTGCCTAATTGCTCTGGCTAGGACTTCCAATACTATGTTGAACAGAAGAGGTGAAAGAAAATGAGAATCCTTAACTTGTTCCTGGTGTTAGATGAAAAACTTTCAACTTTTTACCACTGAGTATAATGTTAACTATGGCTTTGTCATACATGACATTTACTGTGTTTAGGTATAGCTCTTCTATACCTAATTTGCTGAGAGTTTTCATCACTAAAAAATGTGGAAACTTACACTTCTCTCCCCCATCCTAAACTAAATTAACAACCATCTGGACATTTCCCCTTGTGGGATATCCCACAAGCCCTTCATATCCAGCATCTCCAACAGGAAGCCGTATCCCCCAACTCAGGTCTCTTCTCTTTCTCCCTCTACCCCACCAAATCCCTGCCACCACTATACTCAATCTGTTGCATCTTTTTTCTGCCACATCAGCATTTCTTAAAAACAAAGGAAACTCCCTATCTCTACACAGTCATAGTTCTGCTTCTCATTCTTTTTCATATAGCTTTCTAATTGTCATTAGGCTATCATAATCATTAAGCAGGTAATTTCTCAAAATGATATATACATGCCCTATCCATCTCCCAAGCTCCACTCCCTCCATTTCTCAACACTGCTTATGGTCTTAGTAAGATGTTCAAATACAATGTGAACTCTCTAACTTTCCCTCATACTCCTAACAAAGATCTCTGGGTTATCATCCACCATATTCTTTTTCTTTTCTGTCTTAAAGACTACATTAACTTTTTCTTTGGGGGAATTATTTAGTATCTGACACACAATAAACCACTTGTTTATACAGTTTTTTGTTTGTTTGTTTTTTTGTGACAGTGTCTCATTCTGTACTCCATCACCCAGGCTGGCATGCAAGTGGCCCCATCTCAGCTCACTGCAACCTCTGCCTCCCAGGTTCAAGCCATTCTCCTGCCTCAGTCTTTCAAGTAGCTGGGATTACAGGCACGCACCACCACCCCTGGCTAATTTTTGTATTTTTTAGTAAAGATGGGATTTCACCATGTTGGCCAGGCTGGTCTCAAACTCCTGATCTCAGGAGTTTCATCCACCTGCCTCAGGCTCCCAAAGTGCTGGGATTACAGGAGTGAGCCACCATGCTTGACCTGTTTACACCTTTTATCTCTCTTTTCCTCTCCTTAAGAAACTTTCCCTCAACCAAAATACTTTGTTTTCTTTTCCTTCAAAAATATTCATGTAAGCCTCTTCTTTCTCTGAAAGATGTTTTTGAAAGAGTCTATACTTGCTACCTACAGTTTCTCATAATCCACCTCTCTTGAATGCCATGTAGTCTAGTTTTACTAGTTTGGCTGAAGCTCTCCTCTTGAATGTCAAAAATTACTTCCAAGCCAGCCTTTCCCAACTGGGTTTCCATCAGAGAATTAAACTGTATAGAAAATTATTTCAATTACTTCATTAATTCTTGAAGAGTGGCATATAGCTAAGACTATCTTCCATAAACTACTTGCCAACTTTCCAACAGTATAATATCTAATTTCTATATTAAATCCCTTATTCCATATTCATCATGGTCATCCCACTTCTCTGATAAAACTCTAACTGATATAATCAGCTATAGATATACTTCTTTTTGTGACATCTGCTCTGATGATAGGCCCTGCTGGTCCTGCCAACTTAATATCATAAATTAGTCTTCAGGAGATAAGTCCCTGTTTTTTGTTCCTAACTCTCATTTACCAAAGACTACTTGAGGCATTAAAACCAAAAGTTTAATTAAGTCATGAGAGAATATTTGTTTATTTAAGACAATAAAAAATTTTAATAACAACTCCTTTTAATTTTCTCATACTCCATTTTCTATTACAAGTAAATAGCTTCATAGAAATAAAACAAAATCCAAAACTAAAGAATAAAAAATTACCTTTGTTTAAGGTGCACAGTGTATGGTTTCTCATCTATTGGAATAATGTAGGATATTTCTTCCTAGAGAATTCAAATAACTGAAAGTGAAGACAAATTTAATACAAGAAGCAAAACAACAGTTTTATGCCTATTAATCTCTCCAAACAATGTTTAAAAGGTCTTTATTAAATTTCTCTGACTACATATGATTTAAAATCAGCAACAAACATCAAAGAAATTCATATTGATTTATTTTATGATAGTTTTTTACTATTTCCACAAAAATAAACACAGTCTGAGGATTTATATAGGATTAAAAATCTACCTATAGGATGGGAGGGGAGGACTCAAGATGGCGCTGTGAGAACGACCCAGGATTGGAGCTCTCCTTGAATCTGCGGAGAGGTGAGTCGGAGCTGCATTTCCAGACTGATCTTGGTTGCCCACAGAACGGGGAAATTCCCAAGTATAAAGGAGATGTGGGACGCCTGGCAGTACCTCTGCCTGGCGAAGCCTGCAGCCAGGGTGGCGGCGGCCGGCCCTACCCAGCACTCCCCACAGAACGCGCTTGTCCGGGTGCCCTGTTGAACCGGAAACCTGAGACTTGAGAGGGCTGGATTTGAGACTGAACAAGACTTGGACACTGGGCCAGACCAGGGGATTGCAGGGACAGAGTGTTTGAGCTAGCCCAGTGGGACAAACAAAACCGCGATTTCAAATGATCCCTGTGCAGTCGATCTGAGACACTCTGTGAGGGGGGGCATCTACCATTACCAAGGCAACCCGCCCCAACTGAGATACACGTCCACTGCTGACACAGCCAGCCGTTGCCGAGGCAACCTGTCCCTACAGAGATACACGCCCACTGCTGACGCAGCCTGCCGTTGCCGAGGCAACCCGCTACAACAGAGAGACTCCACTTCAGGGTGTTGTGGAGACCACAGCAGAACAGCAGAGCCTGCCCCAACAGGGCAAGCCTCACAACAGCAGGCGAAGCCTCGGCAGGCAAACACTGGCTAGTCTGCCTCCTAGCTGAAGAGGACACCTCAACGAACATCCAAAAATAAAGCCCGAACCCCCCAACACAGAGCATTTGAGAAAAAAATGGTTTTTTCAATGAGCTCTGTTGCAGCAGAATCAAACATAGCAGCCTAACAGCCCTGAATGAACAACAGAGCTCACAGCTAAGCAATTGAGCTCCAAAAAAGTACAGACTGTCTCCTCAAACAGCTCCCTGACCCCTCTATATCGAAAAGACTGACATTTGGCAGGCATCAACCTGGGACAAAGATAGCAGAAAAAGAAACTGGTAGCATCCCTCACTGTGCCACAGCTGCTAGAATTGCACCACAGACAAGCAGGGCCTGGAGTGGAACTCAGCAGTCATACAGTGAAGGGGCTAGACTGGTAGAAGGAAAACCAAGTAACAGAAATACTTCATCATCAACAATCTGGGTGTCCACTCAGAGACCCAATCGAAAAGTCAGCAACTACGCAGACGACAAGCAGATAAATCCACAAAGATGGGAAGAAACCAGTGAAAAAAGGAGGAAAACACCCGAAACCAGAACACCTGACCTCCCAGAAAGAACCAAAACTCCTCACCAGCAAGGGAACAAAGCTGGACGGAGAATGACTGTGACGAAATGACAGAATGAGATTTCAGAAGGTGGATAATGAGAAACTTTTGTGAGCGAAAAGAACATGTTTAAATCAATGCAAAGAAACTAAGGAACTTGAAAAAAGATATGAGGAAATGATAACAAGAATGGATAACTTAGAGAGGAATATGAATGAATTAAAGGAGCTGAAAAACACAATACCAGAACTTTGTGAAGCATGCACAAGTTTCAATAGCCGAATTGACCAAGCAGAAGAAAGAATATCTGAAGTCGAAGACCAACTCAATGAAATAAAATGAGAAACCAAGATTAGAGAAAAAAGCGCAAAAAGGAATGAACAAAGTCTCCAAGAAATGTGGGACTATGTGAAAAGACCTAACCTACGTTTGATAGGTGTACCAGAAGGGGACGAAGAGAATGAATCCAAGCTGGAAAATACTCTTCAGGACATCATCCAGGAAAATTTCCCCCACCTAGCAAGACAGGCCAACACTCAAATACAGGAAATACAGAGAACACCACAAAGATATTCCGCAAGAAGAGCAACCCCAAGGCACATAATCGTCAGATTCAACAAGGTTGAAATAAAGAAGAAAATACTAAAGGCAGCCAGAGAGAAAGGTCGGGTCACCCACAAAGGGAAGCCCATCAGACTCACAGCAGATCTCTCGGCAGAAACCCTACAAGCCAGAAGAGAGTGGGGGCCAATATTCAACATTCTTAAAGAAAAGAACTTTCAACCCAGAATTTCATATCCAGCCAAACTGAGCTTCAGAAGTGAAGGAAAAATATACTCCTTTGCGAACAAGCAAGTACTAAGAGATTTTGTCACCACCAGGCCTGCTTTACAAGAGCTCCTAAAAGAGGCACTACACATAGAAAGGAACAACCAGTACCAGCCATTCCAAAATCAAACTAAATGCTAAAGAGCATCAACATAATGAAGAACCTACAACAACTAACAGGCAAAACAGCCACTTAGCATCAAAATGGCAGTATCAAATTCACACATAACAATATTAACCCTAAATGTAAATGGACTAAATGCACCAATCAAAAGACACAGACTGGCAAATTGGATAAAAATCCAAAACCCATCAGTGTGCTGTATCCAGGAAACCCATCTCACATGTAAGGATACACAAAGGCTCAAAATAAAGGGATGGAGGAAGATTTACCAAGCAAATGGAGAGCAAAAAAAAGCAGGAGTTGCAATTCTCATCTCTGATAAAATAGACTTTAAAGCAACAAAGATCAAAAGAGACAAAGAAGGCCATTACATAATGGTAAAAGGATAGATACAACAAGAAGAGCTAACAATCCTAAATGTATATGGATCCAATACAGGAGAACCCAGATACATAAGGCAAGTTCTTAATGACTTACAAAGAGACTTAGACTCCCACACAATAATAGTGGGAGACTTTAACACTCCACTGTCAATATTAGACAGATCAACCAGACAGAAAATCAACAAGGATATCCAGGGCTTGAACTCAGACCTGGAGCAAGCAAATCTGATAGACATTTACAGAACTCTCCACCCCAAATCCACAGAATACACATTCTTCTCAGCACCACATCACACCTACTCTAAAATTGACCACATAATTGGAAGTAAAGCACTGCTCAACAAATGCAAAACAACTGAAATCATAACAAACAGCCTCTCAGACCATAGTGCAATCAAGTCAGAACTCAGAATACAGAAACCAACCCAGAACCGCACAACTTCATGGAAACTGAACAACTGGCTCTTGAATGTTGACTGGGTAAACAATGAAATGAAGACAGAAATAAAGAAGTTCTTCGAAACCAATGAGAACGAAGACACAACATACCATTATCTCTGGGACACATTTAAAGCAGTCTCTAGAGGAAAGTATATAGCAATAAGTGCCCATATGAGGAGAATGGAGAGATCCAAAATTGACACCCTATCATCAAAATTGAAAGAACTAGAGGAGCAAGATCAAAAATACTCAAAACCCAGCAGAAGACAAGAAATAACTAAGATCAGAGCTGAACTGAAGGAGATTGAGACAGGAAAACCCCTTCAAAAAATCAATAAATCCAAGAGCTGGTTTTTTGAAAAGATCAACAAAATAGACCACTAGCCAGATTGATTAAAAAGAAAAGAGAGAACAACTAAATAGATGCAATAAAAAATGATAAAGGGGAAATCACCACAGATTCCACAGAAATTCAAACCATCATCAGAGAATATTACAAACAACTCTATGCACATAAACTAGCAAACCTGGAAAAAATGGATAAATTCCTGGACTCCTGTGTCCTCCCAAGCCTAAACCAGGAGAAAGCTGAAACTATGAATAGACCAATAACAAGGTCAGAAGTCGAGGCAGCAATTAAGAGCCTACCACTCAAAAAAAGCCCAGGTCCAGACGGATTCACAGCTGAATTCTACCAGACACACAAAGAGGAGCTGGTACCATTCCTTCTAAAACTATTTCAAACAATCCAAAAAGAGGGAAGCCTTCCCAAATCATTTTACGAGACCAACATAATTCTGATATCAAAACCCGGCAGAGACCCAACAAGAAAAGAAAACTTCAGGCCAATATCCATGATGAACATAGATGCAAAAATCTTCAGTAAAATATTGGTAAGCCGATTGAAACAGCAAATCAAAAAACTTATTCATCATGATCAAGTAGGATTCATCCCGGGGATGCAAGGCTGGTTCAACATACGCAAGTCTATCAACGTAATTCACCACATAAACAGAACCAAAAACAAAAACCACATGATTATCTCAATTGATGCAGAGAAGGCATTTGACAAAATTCCACAGCCCTTTATGCTAAAAACCCTCAATAAACTCGGTATCGATGGAACGTATCTCAAAGTAATAAAAGCTATTTATGACAAACCAACAGCCAATATCATACTGAATGGGCAAAAACTGGAAGCATTCCCTTTGAAATCCGGCACTAGACAAGGATGCCCTCTTTCACCACTCCTATTCAATATAGTACTGGAAGTTCTAGCCAGAGCAATCAGGCAAGAAAAAGAAATAAAGGGTATTCAAATAGGAAAGGTGGAAGCCAAATTGTCTCTATTTGCAGACGACATGATAGTATACCTAGAAGACCCCATCGCCTCAGCCCAAAAACTCCTGAAACTGATAAGCAACTTCAGCAAAGTCTCAGGATATAAAATCAATGTGCAAAAATCACAAGCATTCGTCTACACCAATAACAGACTTAAAGAAAGCCAAATCAAGAACAAACTGACATTCACAATTGCTACAAAAAGAATAAAATACCTAGGAATACAACTAACTAGGAACGTAAAGGACCTCTTCAAGGAGAACTACAAACCACTGCTCAATGAAATCAGAGAGGACACAAACAGATGGAGAAACATTCCTTGTTCATGGTTAGGAAGAATTAATATCGTGAAAATGGCTATACTGCCCAAAGTAATTTACAGAAT